ATGGCCTCCGGAATTTTAGGGATGTTATAATCTAGTGTCTCGAACAGCTCATAGTGCCTTTCAAATCCTTTATCATTGTCCCTCAGAGGCGATTGTAACTTTCTGCTGTAATGTGAATACATTGTCCTCTGATTCTCTGTCAAATTGATCTGGATTCAAAGTTGTTCTGATGTTTGCTGAAAAACAGACTGAGCCAACTTTGGTTGATGATAGAACTATAGCTTTAGCTATAATTATTTACTATTTAAAAAGTCTTAACAATTGTTGTTTTGGCTCTATGTGCACACTGTATTAGTGGAAAGTTTGGGCGTAAAATAATAATAATAATAATCCTTGCATTTGATATAGCGCTTTTCACGTCGGGAGGACGTCCCAAAGCGCTTCACAGAATATACTGTAAAGTGAATTGACCGTATATTTGTGGGCGAACGCGGCAGCCAAAAGCTGTCTTTTTGCTGTAATTCAAATGTCTTCAGAGGCAGTTCTTCTGCCCCTGTCCAGAACATATCCAGTGCTTAGTTTTGGACTTATTTTAGAAGTTGATAATTTTGGCAGTGTTTTGTTGCTTATAGCTTCCTAGTTGGTTGAGTTTCACCTTACAGTAACATTGAATAGGGCTGCAGATTTGTAACCAAATTTTATCAAAAATTATCACAATAAATTTCGTAAAAGTCATGGGTTTAGGGGGAAATCTGTGAGGTTACAGATATGAAAATTCAACTATACCTCTTTAAAACGGGGTTAGGCTGCATACAGTGTTGCTAAGGAAGGCTGCTCAGCTGGTCAAACATACCTTATGTAATGCGTTTATTAGTTGTGTGAATTATGGAATAATTCGCACAACTATTAAAAATGTATTCAATATGCTGTATTAAAATCCCACACCCAGAAAAATGCCAGGCACAAAGAAAAGTTACGGACAAACAGAAAAATCACAGTAATCTTGACATTTTTGCCACATTGACAGACCCTCAGCCCTAATTATGAGGGAACTAAAAATTGTCAGTTTAGGTTTATGCTATTAGTGTTCTCTGTTTTATTGCCTATCCTTCCTTTCCTCTATCTCGCCACTAGAACCCAAGCCTTCATCCATTCTCCTCTGGAACTCCTCCAAAGCCATTTCATCTCGTTATCCTTTCCTGATTTTAAAATCCTTCTTTCTCTTAGTTCTTGTTTTCACCAATTTCTAAATTCCTAAACTCTGTTCAGTCCACCTCTCCCTTCCTTTAAGTTCTTTTACGCAAAAAGCATTATATAAATGCAAGGTTTCCTCCCACTACAGTTCTTAACATTCAATAACTCCCACTCCTTCCTACCCACGTTGAAGAGACCAAAAAGAAAAACACGCACTTCACACGCACTTTCTTAAATGAATAAACAAATTAAAAACAAGTTTTTAAAAATTTGCTGAGCTCTAGGTTGGTTTCCTATGCCTCTTGAGATCCTATGTAATGACAGGCTTTCTCCTCCAGATTATAATAATAATCTTTACATTTGAATCATGGAAGGCGTTATACAAATGTAATGTTGTTGTTGTTTCATGTCGGGAGGATGTCTCTAAGCACTCCACAGCATATATTGTGAAATATAGTGAACAAATTTTAATCAAATAACTTCGGTTTCTCCTTGCACCTGAAGACTAAATGTTCCAAGTTGTATTTTAGTGAAGCATTCTGCCACAGTGGTGAACTGCTCCTTGCCAGTAAAAACTGCCATTTTGTTAATGCCATCGAGAAAAGAATCATTCTGAAAGTCTGGTGTTGCCTGAATCTCAATGTGTCCCAAGAAGTTTGAGCAGTGTATACGGGATATATGATATTGTTGCCCTCTTTCAGTTGGACTGGCTGGCTTCACTTGTATACAGCTATATGCTATGCAATTACAGTATTGAGCCAAATTGGATTCAATTACCATGCTACAATTTTTTACGTAGAACGCTACTGCATTGAAACAGGCCACTCAGTCCAGCTTGTTTGTACTGGTGTTTACTCCACCAGAGCCTCTTCTCCCATGCCACCTGGACTGATTTCACTATTCCTTCTTCAGCTTTTATTGACCATGATGAATGCAATGTGTTTGCTACGAGGTGAGATTTATCTAGTGTTGTTAGAATTGTTTTTTTTTTAGCCTTGACACATATCTGAGTTTACAGTGAATGCTGGCAGGCTGTTTGACTGGGGAAGGGCGAGGGCACAGCACAGCTAAACCCCAAATCCATGCATTGTTGCATTCCAACAGGAAATACTGGAAAGCAGCAATGAGGAGTGGGAATTCTGACCTATTGGTGGCTAATTTCTTGTTCACTTGCATGTGCTATAGTTGTTGAGACCACTTTTTGCATCCCAACTGATGCAGAGATCAGCGAGCTCAGCACGAATACAGATTTGAATCTGCATCTTTCTGCTCCGTGTAGCTTAGTGCTCTTGTGCCTTTGCTGAATTGACCAGTGGGGTGGGTGGGATGTAGGGCAACCCTTCTAGTTTTTAGTTACAGTAGAGTTACCATTCAATTACTTGTCTGGTATATCATTTGCAGAATGTAATTTAAAGGAATAAAAAAATACACCAATTTGTTTGCAGGAAAGCTTTCATGAGTGCAGAAGAAACAGGTCATGTGTACTTTTTTTTAATCTTTGAGGCTTAGTTATGAAAGATTCATCCATAACTGCAGAAAATTGTTTATTGGATTCACAAAGTGTGCACTGGCAGTAGAATTTAATTGTAAAATTATAAATAATCTTAGATTTGATATAGCACTATTCACATTGGGAATACATCTCAGCGAATCACAGCGTATGCTGTAAAGTGGAATGACTGTATTTTGTGGGAGAATGCAGCAGCCAATTTGAGCGCAACAATGCCCTGCAAACAGCCATGAAATGAAAGATCAATCTTATCTGGGGGTTGTGGTTTGTTGGCCAGGACTTTGGATCACCCTTGGGCATAATTGTACCGCTTAATCTTCATATTTTGTATGGAAACTTTTCGTTAAGTACTTCAAAATCTGCTGCTCTATTGTACTTTTAAATATTGTCTCTAAATTTACAGGCTAAACCTCGCAAAAATATCTTCTGATAAAGAAGGTCTTTCGACCCATTTGATCTAGTCTTTTCAAATTGTAGTGAGAAGACTTCTCCAGCTACATAAGACTGAACAGTCAGAGTAGTCCGGTCGTGAATACTGGGAAGTTGAGCAGCATTCTAGGTCTCAATACTAATGTTCTTATGCCTCCATCTTTGTGTGTTTTTGTCAATACTCTAACCACATTATCACTGAATTATTAATGCAGTAATTGAGTCCTGGTCTGCATCATTTGTCCCCATTGCTGAGGAGAGATGAGATTTTCTACTGTTAAGGTCATTATTTAGCATCCTTGCTGTGTCTGATTGAGGTCGGACATACCTTGTAAATGGAGATAATGCAGATTTTCTGATCATGCAAATTTAAGCTGTTTTATTCCTGGTTTAGACTCCTCAGCCCTGGACAATATGATTTCATAGCGGGAAATATATATCCTCTTACTCACTGCTAATCACTTTACTGTTGGAAACATTAATACCTAATCTGTACTGTACTGTTGAAAGTAATTTATCTTGTAAGGTAGGATTGCATTTGCTGTGTGGCTCAGCATGGCAATCACATTCAGACCGAGCTCCTGTTTGAGCTGTCACAACTACTCTTGTCTAACCTCTGTAAAAACAGTAGGTTTTGCTAATAAAGTAGGCTTTGCAACATCAACAATTAAGAAGGCTGCAGCATATGGGCTAGATGTCACTGATTTTCACCCATTTGGCTCTATTTTTTATAATTTTGAATTAATTGATTATTGCGCGATGGCAGAGCTTAAGTGAAGAAACTAAAGGAAGAACAATCTACTACATCATAAAGAATTCAAGGGACTGCAGTAAAAGTTAACATTTCTTTGCTACAACAACAACAAATTACATTTGTGTAGTGCCTTTCATGTCAGGAGAATGCCCCAAACATTATATTCTGTGGATAGATACAGTTTTACAACAATCATTTATTTGGTTTTGGAACTACTGCTGTATAGCAAAATTATGCTGATTTGAGCTTGAATATTTGCCAGCTCAGTTTTTACATCCATGCCCCTTAAGCCCGCAAGATTGCACAGTGCATGCAATATTCTTACCAGAGTGCAATTAAACAAATGAGAAATGTTGACAGTAAATGTGCAAACATTTAGTGATTTAATGAATTACTTCAGCTTTGGTGGTTGGTTCTATCCTGAGAACTTAACTGAACACAATGCATGATAATTCAGTAATGATTCATAGACTTTTTTAATATACATTTGTTGTAGCTGAAAAAAAAACAATGGTTACAAACAACTTCATTTTTTTTAAGCTAATGTATTTTTGAAAAGATTGAACTGGTTAGGCAGGGTATAAATATACTTTTTCCATTGCAACCTGTTGCATCTGCTTGAGCATTATGTGTCAATTAAATTTATTACATTTGTTGTTGCATGTATCAGTGTTTTGGGTTCATGAGGATGTATAAAGAGAAGGTTATTCTTTAATGTTTTCATCCTCATTGAATTCAGTTCTCCACCTACCATCAGTTTAATCTACAGCCAGGTTCTATTGGAGGAAATTTTCAGATTGTCACTTTTAATAACACATTGCTTCATCCCATTACATGAATATCCTATCCCCTATCTTGTATCATTGTCTCTCAATGCCGTTTGTCCTCTGTCATTTTTGCCAACAAATCCAAATGTTCTTAATTGCCTTACTCATTTAAGCAGTGATAGGCACAATATTTGTCCTGTAAAGAGAAAGAAATTGGGCAAGGTTATATTCATTTAAAAAGTACGTGTTAAAACTAACAAAAATTAAAAATTCCTTTTTTTCCTTTTGTTAGTTTCAACGTGTACTTTTTAAATGAATATAACCCTACCCAATTTCTTTCTCTTTTATAGGACAAATATTGTGCTCAATCTGTTAATTTTTTTTGTTTTTGGTTTATTAAACACAGAACTGAAACACAGAAATCTGAAACAGAAGCCCTTCCTCAGCCCAGAGCAAGACCCAGAGGGGAGGAGGGTGGGAAAGTTGGTATGTGGAGGAGAACTTCATTCAAAAAATGAGGACTACTATACCTTTGGTGAGTCATCTTACCTTACCTTGTTAGATCTGGTCTGCTTCATGTAATCTGTCTTTCTTCAAAAGTGATACAACTTATGGAATGAAAGGACTTGCCTGCATTAAAGACATATTGGCGACGTTTTGTATATTTGGCAGGTTGGTTTAAAGTTCCAGTATTTTTTTCTAAAATCCTGGTAAGCACAAATGTAAGTCATGCATACATCTCATGATTTGGCAGAAAGGATATGAAAGCATGTGAGTTGAGAGAAATGGATTGAGTTTCATTTGATATTGATTTTTAGAAAATTACTTTGCACCCATTCTGACAGACTTGCAATAGTAGTGAACATTAGAAAAGTGGGCTAACTTGTTTACTTGTCTGTTATATCCTGCAATCTGCAATATGAAATAATTTTGGTGTTCCCAAACCCTCCCCCCTCCCCCATTTCTTCAGTTTTCTGTAAGTATGAGTAGGTTTTTGTTCTCAAAGTAGACTATTTTTGCTACTGAGAAATAAATAAAATACCTTTCTACCCCCATGGTCTACTTCTGGTATCACACGGCCAGTGTTTAATGCATTTCTCTCCTAGCTATGTGGCTTACCCAACCTCAAGTGCTGACCCAGTCGTCTTCATAGTTCCATGGAGCATGCCAAGAGGATTTGATCCCAACAGTCTGATCAAATGTGGTTCCCAAAAGCATTTAAATCCCCTATTGTTTGGACTTGAAGCTAATCACTAGTGTAATCCCGTATATGTTTTATATGTAATGTCTGTGTGTGAATTTGCAATGGGGACAGAAAAGGACATGGATCCTGTTCAGGAAGGTGAGAATACCTACCATTAAAGGTGTTTTAATATTGGAGCAAGCTTGGAGATTTGTATTTAAAATGTAATGTATTTAATGTGGTGATTTCAGTATTGCACTCCATATTCACGTAGAATCTGCTCATAAGAATGTTTCCCTATTGAGTAAAATGCATTCTTCGAAATGACAAAATCTCTCCAACAGGCTTAATGGGCTGAATGGCCTTCTTCTGTGCTGTAGATTTTTACCTATCCAACTACAACTATGTTTGTTTCGAAATCTGTCAAAATGTTGGGGTAATATTTTCCTCCATTGAGCGTTCTCATCAAAATATGAGGTGAAAACATGCAAGTGTTTTAGTCGGATGTTTTTCACTTATTAAAACCACTTTTTGCATTGTATTGTTTCAATTTTGTTTCTAAGGTATTCCATGATTGATTTTTGAAGGTGCGTAGTAAATGTAAATTAAAAATTTTTGGCTATATATTCAATTGCCGTAAAGGATTAGCTGGATGCAACTTAATGTGTGATGTTTGTGGCATTTTTAGCAGAGTAAGAAGTGCTCCTAGAACATGTTGGAAAGTGCGTGACCCTGCCATTGTTGCTTTCCACTTCTGGGATGTGGGGAAGGGAGAAAGCAGATGGCACAAAGAAATGAACTAACTTGATAGCTCTCTCGTATCTGGGTCTGAATTTTGTGGGTTCAAACTCGTGTCTGGACTAGAGCTCACTCTCTTGGCTGACACTTCAGTGGAGTGCTGCATCGTCAGAGCTGCTATCTTTCAGATGAAATGCTAAACCGAGGTTCTGCCTGTCCTACATGATCCAATTCAAAAAGAGCAGGGATTGTCTTCTGGTGTATTGGTCAACAGTCAACAAACAAGATAATAAATGTGGACATTCAAAATCGTGATCGACTGTGGGGCTTCCTGTGCACAAAATGGTGGCTCTATTTTCCGATTAAAAACAATTACTACTCTGGAATGATAAAACTTTTTGAAATATATTTTGACAGGATACAATGATTCGGATTATGTATGTACATAACTAATCACATTATTGACCTACTCTTTCCAAATACATTTGTATAGCAAAAATATCAAATACAAGATTAATGCTTTAATGTAATTCATGAATAAAAATGACTTGCTGTAAATTGGAAACCCTTCTGGACACAGCATAAAAAAGGCAACAAAAAAGATGGATTCGGTTTTTAATAGCATGCTTGACAGTATATGGCAGGACGCTTACCGATCTTACTACCGTGTAACAAATACAGTTGTAGAAAATTATTGTGTAGATTATTTCTAAAAAGTTTTTGTTTTCTCTGCTTTAGGGGTTGAGCTAAACTGCTGCGGAAAAGAGCAAAGTAAGCTCCAATTTTATGGTATTCTGAAACTTGCTTCTGACTCTGATAACTGGGTACTGGGAATCTCTGCTGCCATTCCAACTAACCGTTTGTAGAACTTTGGTCTAGCAAATATTGTATCTTCTTTCCTGTGATACAAATATTTTAGCTTCCCTCTACAGTATGTTTGTTTATAAATATATTATTTTTATGCAGAGAGAGACTCCAGAACTTAAGTACAAATTGTAAAGTTGGTATCTTGTCAAAATTAACTATAAGCCCTGGTGCATCATGTGCTTTTGTTGAGATTTCTTGGCAATTCAAGAAATTGTAATGCTAATACATTAATTGTAATGCTAATATGTTAGCATTTACATACTTCACTGAAATATTGTGTAATTTTCATTGTTTATCAGGACTGAAACAAAGGAACATTAGTTTTGCAACAGTAGAGCCATGGAATGATACTGCACAATGTCAATTTGATCACAAATTTTTAGTTTTGAAAACCATCAAAGCCTTTTTTTTTGTTTGCACAGAAATGAAATTACCAATATTACTCTTTTTACCGAACAATACACAAGTTTCATTGGCATGCAGAAACAAGGGAGGAGAGGGGAATTTCAGAACCTCACCATCACATTTTGTTCAAGGATCTACCTGAAACTGATCTGTGAAAGGGTTTCATATCTGAGGGAAAATCAGAATTAAGTTAAGAATTTATGTAAAGTAACTAGTTTAAAGATGAATGATTCTCACAACCCCAGTTCCTGGAACAGTAGGATTTATTTTAAAGTATTTTTTCATTAATTTTCTCCTGAATTGATCTGAATGGCAGCAGTTTAGACTGCTCACTTCTCTCCCTACCCTAAACAAAGTCAACATATCTGAAAATAACTCTGCCTTTATAATTCAAAACTGCCCAATATTTGCTACCATCAATATTTAACAAATTAGTTCCTAGGATTTTCGTTTGCCATTAATTAGCATAACTACAGTGGAGATACTTTGGTTAACCCTTTGTTTTGTTGAATAATGCAGCTTTCCGGTTGCAACTTTGTTGTATTTATCTCTGGGCATTACAAATGGTGCAATTGGTTGATTACATTTCTGTATAATAAACCCACCTCCACTGAAAGGTTTCTTTGGTTTTCAATGTTTAATTGCAGGATGTTTTTAATTTCACTACTTACATGTCACATTAGATACACTGGAGATGTTAACACCAATGGCTTCCTGTTGGTTGATCCAAACATGTAAAAGAATGAATGCCCTGTGCTCTCAAATATTTGGCGGCAGTTTTAAGTCAACGTTTACAATTAAATTAGATATATAAGGAAGGGAAGAGTGCTTAAACCTTGGAAGCAATTGAAGTATGTTCCTATCCATACTTAATTTTTCATACGTAATATCCAGTTTTGTGAACGACTGCATGTAGGCTTCTAATATCGCTGCACTGCATTTGTCTAACTTATCTTGAAATAGATGTTAACAGCTGGTTGAGGGTTTTATGCCTCTCTCTCTCCAATTGGTGCTCGGTGAGGATTTTATTTGGGTAATGAAGGTGATGATTCCAGTGCTGAGGTGTGGATACTGTCTACTAGTGTGCAAGCTAAAGATAGCAACTGTTTGTGTGCAGCATAGGTGAGGTTTATCTGGATAAGATGCCATCTGGTGGCTTATGTTCAGTATCAGTTTCCATTGACCCCCACCCCACACACACACAGCCATACATGAAATTTAAAAAAAATCAATCCACAACTGTGTGCAATTGGCTGCCGCAAAATTTACAGTATGTTCTGTGAAAGCCAATATACCAAATGCAAGGATTATTATTATACATGTACATGCATGCACAGGCATAGGTTCACTTACACGTTCACCCATGCACGCAAATACATGCACATTACTTGCAGCATTTTAAGTGAATCGTCAGTTTTGTTTTTATTGACATTGACGTGTTGCAGTTGCCTAAGAACAATTAACTGTCTGAAAATGTTTCTGAGCTGAATGTAACTTTTGATGATTGCAACATCATAAATGTTTACAGGGAACTCTTAGTTGCAGCTTCACACCAACAAATAAAAGTTCAGGTCGAAAGCAATTCAGGAAGACTTATTTTTAGCTGTAGCGCATTTGACACTAACTGAAGTATTCAAAGCTGAAAATGTATTTCCAAGAACTCAGCCTAGGGTTTCAAATTAGTGGCTGTGAAAGTGGTCAGAGCAGAATCCTTTAACAAAGGTATTTTATGCACGAATTATCACTGAATAAATAGATTAGTCCACGTCCATTGATGAGGCCTTTATCGTTAACCATGTCGGAGTTAATATAAATTGATCTGTGTGCATTGTCTGTATGTGAGCTTTATCCAAGGCTAACAGTGAATGCTCTGAGCTGCATAGAGCTGTTTAATTTCCCTGAGCTATCTGATTTCAGTCAGGTTATTGCTGTGTGGGTTCATTAAAATTGGCCTCAGTACCCCAAATAAATAAGGAAAAAAATGCTGCTTGCTATCAAGTCATCCCAGTTGGAGGTCTTCTTGTAATGTTTCCATAGCCTCACCTCACACTACCTTGCAACCTTATTGCCAGTGTTGCTCCCTCTGCTCGGCAAACATCAGCCTGCTTCATATACCCCAACCATCATGGCCCGCCATTCTGCTCCCACTCTCTGGAATTTCAACCCAGAGTTCCTCCATCTTTTAAAATTTGCCTTGATACCTCACTGCATAATTTTAAATTGTTGTCGAGGACATGATCGATTTCAATTGTAGTGCTTCCAGGTATTGATAATCTACTAACGCTCGGTTTTTGTGCCTCAAATATGAATAACTGCTGTTTGCAGAAGATACTGGCAAATCGTCAATGCCAATGGAACTGTACCCTAGTACAACAATAATCTGCGTTTATCTCTTTTTTTTCTGTGTTTCTCGATCATTCTGTTTCTTGTTCTGACTTTCTCTTTCTCTCTCCCATTCCTAAGGCTAAACAATAGATTGCTGAATGCTCACCTTCAGGTTGCTGGCTCACAGTAGTGATGCACAGATAAATTCCTAGTAACTTCACGTATGTGTGCAAGTGGTTTTGCCAGTATTGTAGAAATGACACGGATCCCAATTTTTGATATGTAGATATGTGGATAGTTGTCGGGCTGATGTGGGGTGTTGTACTGTAATCATCTCTTTCAAGTCTTACAAAAGAAATGAGATTTCACTGTAAAAGGACAGTTGTTGACAAAGTCTGTGGTTTTTAAAATCAGCCTTCAAAGTGGCTGGTGCTTGACTATGCTCTTAATTGGGAACATTTTGAACTTTGGTGTTTGGCACTTTCATAATAGTTATAACCCTAATAGTTATAACCCTATAAGATCAAATTTATTTTAAAATCACAAGAATTGGGGAACAAAACCAATTATTGTACAGAGGCTATGAACTAATCTGAACTTGCAGAAAGGTGTAAGATGGAACAGAATAAACCAAATTGCTCAGAACTTGAAAATATTTGGTGCAATTACTGTCCACCCAAAAGCAGAATGCATTGAAATTAAAGATCATTTTGGTGTGGTTACACCATTCCACTGCAGCCGAGCCAGCCTGAGTGGTGGCTTTTGCACAGGGATTATTTTGAGGAGGTTGTCTCTCTCACTTTGGCTTTGCACTGGCTGCTTATTGGAACTGGTGCATTGCCACCAAGTTAGTTTCTAATTTTAGAGAAGGCCAAACTTTAGAAATGGCACCTGGCCGGGAAGAGAGCACAAAGCATCAGCTTTTAGTTTGATCTCTGCCTTTCCCTAGATTTTAGGTTTGGGCTGCAGCTCTACATTTTACTGAAGGCTGATTTTCTGAGTGTAACTTGGCAACATCAACTATTTGCAGTGAGCATCCAGGTTTTATTGTTGTTGGTATTCTTCTGTTTTCAAAGTAGCCACAGATACTTTGAACAGTGGGTGTTCAGCTTTAGCTGAGCGTTCAGACCCCGAAGGTAAATACTGGTAGTCATTAATATATGACTGGTATACTGGGTGTGCAGATCAATCAACCCTGGCAATGGCGGTTTCTACAGTGCACTGGATGTTTGTCACTAAAGTCCTGATACATATCAGCTTTTAGTGCAATGCTGTTAAATTAACAGCAAACACAACTGAAGAGAGGCAAGCCTCTTATCAGTTATGTTTGCTGTTAAACATTGACTTTTTTAGAAATGAAAACTGCTGCCAAAATGTCTCATGAGTTGGTGTTGATGGTCATCCAGCTGTTCCTCTGGAGGTATTCTCTACATCCTAAATATTTAACAGGTTCCTCACTTCAATCACTACCCAATGACTCCCTTCCCTGTACACTTTAGGTGAGAACAGCATCGAGTTCGTCTGACTTTTATATTTATTTATGTACATTTTAATTTGTTTCATGTATATGTGTGTTTTTGTGTACATGTATATAAGCACACTAACCCACTCAATACAGACTGAAGATAAAGACTGGTTGCTTGGCGAGGCACCAGGGAACTGCCAGTGTTTGGGAAACTACTCATCATGTATTACCAGCTATAGGAGCAAAAGGGAGGAACTGGAAAAACAAACTCTTTAATGAGTTTAACAGTGTTCTGCTGAACATATTCAACAACCAGCCCACAGGCATAAAAAGAAATGTTGCTATGCTCATATCAGCTGTTCTAAATGTATAATCAATTAAAAATTCAGTAGCGCCACGTTACCATACTTTGGACAAAATAAATTAATCATTGCATTCACACTAGTTTATTCCTACAAATCACAACAAATGTTGCATGCCCTTGAACAGAAAGCAAACTTTAGCAAATTTATGGTTTATAAAATATTTTTGTCCCAATTGATTCACAGTATTCTATTCTAAAAAAAATGTCATTGCAAAATAGCAGCATTGATATGTTTGATTGTTTTCCTTCTGCACTGTGTTGGCTGTCCATTGGCTATCCTTGAGTAAGAAAGAGTCCATGGCCATGAGTTTTCTAACAGAATCTGTTGTGTCTAATGCTGGAATTGTCAATTTGTATCTGGATTATAAAACTAGGGATAATCATGATAATAAACTCTTGACTTAACTGTAATTAAAATGCCATGCATGCTTCTTATTGCTTGAAATATTTGTGAGGGGGAAAAACATTTTTCTTTCCTAACACATGAGCTGAGAATATTCTATAAATAAGTGCATAACCAAGGTCAAAAAGAAAAGAATGGTGCGATCTAAGAAAAGCAAGACTTTTTTGTGATTGTTTTCTGCTTGATCCTGAAACTCTGCAGGCTTCTTAAAGGAGTAAAGAAAAGTTGGGGATTTTTTGCAAAGATGCAAATGTTACTACATTAGTGTTTAATTACAATCCATGCAAGTACTTTTTTTTTACAAGCATGGAGGGCCCAGCATGTGGTATGGTTCAAATAAATAAAATAAAAATGCTTTACTTTGATTTTCAGTTCCTCTCCAATTCTTTTAAACAGTAAAACGCAAAGCATTGAAGCTGAATTTTGCCAACCCAGCCTTCAAGACAACGGCAAGACTTACGTTGAATCCTTCAGGAGGAGTTCACTTCCAGAATCCACACATGTGAGTAAAGTTTATGATGTAATGTTTAGAAATTAGTACTTTTAGCATTCTGAAACAAGTGGTCCTTTTTTACATCCCCTTTATACTCTCTCAGCTGTTCACTGGGTTCCAGCAGAGAGGACGAGTCTCTTGTGGCTTGTAAGCATTTACCTCTAGGCCAGTTGGTCAGAAATGCTCTCGTGAAAACTGAGGTGGAAACCAATTTGTCTTTCTTGGCACATTATATTGCCCTTTGCTCAGTGCTATGCTTGTCCTGGAACACGCGTAGTGTGAGTGTGCCGGAGTGTAAACGTTTGCCATAACCGGAAGTTTACTGCTTTAGGCATAATTGCTTGTGCTATAAATTCATCCCTCTACCATTGAGGATGGTAGAAGCCACCATTTTGTCTATGCCATGCGGTTTATTACTGGCTGTGTTAAGTTGACTGTCGCAAATTTTTGTCTTATTTCTCATGTTTTATAATTTGTTGTATTAAGTACTTCCTTTATTTTAAACAAAGGATTTGCAAAGCATGAAGATTTTAGTATTGCAATGTTATACTTTAGTGGATGGACAACTAGGCACTTGGACTTGTATGCTAACAGATCTTCCTAGTGGCACCAATGTGAGATTCGCAGCACAACCTTACATCGTATCACAGGATTCCTCTAATCCTGGGTCATTCATTTTGGTTTACAATGTGATTAAGGCTGGTGGAAATCAAGTTTATTATTTTGACAGATATAGCTGCATTTCTTTTTCAATTTTAGATTTTTAGCAATGTTTTCTACCAACCCTAAAGATTATCTTAGTTAAGTACTGTAGTCTGCTAGCTGCGTAGGTTTTTTTTTTGCCCTTCATCAGTGAGTATTTTATTTGAAATGTGGTTCATGGATTGGATTGGTAGCTCGAACGGTTCAGTGCTGGACTTTCAACTAGCTCAGAAGGCTTGTTCACAGAGTTCAGATATGCAGGCTTCAGTTGCATTAAGGTTTTTTTTGTCAGCTGAGTCACCGGCTGAAATGTTGTGCAGAGCGAAATGTACAGAGCTCCAGAGGGCCTGTCCTGGCAAGCAAGAACTCATTTCCTGTTGCCTGCTGCTGCAAACAGTAATGCAAGCACACAAGGGGATGGACTGTCAACCCTATGAGCATGTGGAGTGTGTTCTGGCTGTCTTTAAAAAAACATCATTTGGGAGGAGAGAAGAAACGATTTGCAGTCTGTGAATGTATACTTTTGTGGGAAACTACTGTACATTCCAGTGCAGTAAAAATCCTTCAAAGTGAATGTGCCAGTAAAACCTGAAAAGTGATTACTGCTTTAAATGTACATCAGTTCTTTGAGCACTTATTAAATACATACCTGTAATATCCGCAAATCCTTTGTTTGTAAACTCTATTTTCCATATTTGAATTGAATTCCATTTTGTCAGATAGCAAACCTGCTAGTATAGTAAATCAGATGTTTTGGAATTTTTTTTTAAATTGTCTTATGAAATTGCTTATATATTCACTTTTCACATTTGAGGGAAAACTGCTTCTATTATTGGGGCTTTGAGGTAAAATTCTTCCAAAATGCAGTCGGTGCTTTTGTTGAGCAGATGTTGCTCGATACTGCTTCAATGCATTTGCATTCATCAGAATTTCAGCCAGTGGCTTCCATGTTTCTAAACGCTGTCTGAGCCTCTGCAATAAGGACTAACTGTTTAAATTCTTGTGTGCAGATTGTGACGTAAGCAGGTTTTCTGCTCATTAAAATCTTTCAGGTTCTTTCTTTTCCTCCACAGAAAGTTTAATTGGAAGCCAAATAAGCTATTGATCTTAGCTGGAATGCAGGGAATTTAAATGGGCTTGAGAAATGTAGCAGAGTTTGGTGTATTATGCGAACCTTCACATTTCAATTAACAAACCTTTGAGCACCTGGATCCATCAATAACTTTCATTTCATTTAATAACTAACTCCAAATTCAATGCACTTCATGTTACAATATGATGATTGCTGCTTCTAATCTAGTGGGAATTTTTATAAAGTTGGAAGCAACCCATTTTTGGTGCGCCAAGCTCATCAGACCACATCATTGAAGTTCTCAGATGTGAAAACCCTTGGGCAAAAAAAAATTATTTCATATATTTGCAAACAATCAATTGGCTTAGTAAGCGTAAACTTAATTTGACAATCTGCTTGCATCTTTTGAAATAGAAAATATAGACAGCAGATGTTTTATACTGACAAAACTGTTGCATTGTAAATTGATTTTTATTCAAAAAAATGTAAAGCTACATTGAACCACAATTTGTTGGGTAGTCTACTTTAGATGTTTAAAAGGAAACAGTGATAGACATTTAAAAAGAATTTGTAACAAGGGTCTTTTTTCCTGGGGGGTGGGGGGCAGGAATGGTGAAGATAACGAGTCTTTGGCCCTTTGCACTTCATCCCTGTTTACAAAGTGACCTTGGAACCAGTTCTATTGGACATGGTACAGGAGAGCCCATTGTTAGTAGGTTTGATGCCAATGATTTTCAAGATTTCTGCTAGCAGATGTACTTTCATCAGTTCCTTCCTGTGTTGATGTCCGGCAGCCTTGTGCTTATGGAATGGTGTACAACAGATTCCCAGGTAGCCAGGTTTTAAAAGTTTAGATGAAACTGACTTGGTGGAGGTGTACCGAAAAAGCATCTTCACTTTTTCCAGGCTAGTTTTGCTTTGACTCCCGTTTCAACTTGTTTAAAGTAACTTTCCTACAACACTGCAGGTGGCTGCTAATCACCATAGAATTACTATTTCTTTTGTGTTGAAGATTTATCACCTAAACTGAAGTTTAGAATTCAGGCTTTAGAATATTAGGTATTTGCTATGCGTAAGCATTCACACAGTGATGGTATGCAGTTGGGGCAGTGGAGCTTGTTTTTCTTGTATCACTTATCACTTATGTTGCAAAGCTTTATATATATATATATGGCAGATTTTAATTTATTTTGAAAACTTTTTTTGTGTGTGTGGCTATTACTGATCCAGTGTCAAAATGTTTGGATCCCAAATCAAATCTGCATGCCTGCTACTTGATGTTATGCTGTGTAATCTGGTTTCTGCTACCCTTGGCTCCCAAGTATGACACTAGCTCCCAGAAACATGGCATTGCAGTACAACAATTCTCTACTAATTATCTGCTGGTCTGTCGGCTTTCACACTGATATTTTCTGCAGGTCCCGACAGCCCAAAAAGCAGGTCCCGGACTTTGGGCCTTTGGAATTTTCAGCTCCTGCGGATGAAGACTTCATACTAATGGAAATGAAACGCACAAGGTTTGTTTAGATTTGCATCACGTGTTGCAAAGAATATCATTCTGGAACCATTTTGCTTAAACCTTTGTTCATTTTAATATGCCTTTGTAATCGCATTCTAAGCAACCATCTACAGTTTGGTTCTAAACTACGCTAATATTTCAATACACACACACAAAAAAAGTACACTTTCTTTGAGGTGTACAAAAGATATCGCTTGTGCAGACTTTTTCAGACGTAGCTGACGAAGTTCACAGGAGTCTGATAATGTAATTGCCCTGAGGTGCACTCTGGTAGAACAGTAACAGCTTTTCAAAGTTCACAGCAGGCAAGTCAATAGCCCGAGTGGCGCGGAGTTATTTTGGAAGGTGTGAAAGATCTGCTCTCTATGTTTTAAGTTTTGACAGATGCTTGGAATCGGTCATTCTCTTATGTGGCGATGATTCAGGAACATCGACTAATTAGCCGGGATCTCTGTTTCCTGACACAGCAAATGTTGTTCCCTGCCAGCATGCTTGTCAGTTGCATGTCTAGCACACAATTGCACAACAGAAAGGTTTCTTGTTTTCCTTTTGATGGATTCGATAGCATTAATTCCACGTTTAGGCCTGTATAGTTTCGTCCTCCCGACGTGAAAGGCGCTCTATAAATGTAATTTTGTTGTTAAAAATTCTGAAGGTTACTTTCGTCTAAAATGTGTTTTCAAACATTATTTTCCTCCTCCTCTTTCTCCCCTTCCCAGATTGAATGTACCAGTGTAGTCGATTGATTCTCTGCACCTATTCACAGGATACTACCAATAATTCATTGAATTAGGCTACTATCCCCAAATTGTATCCAAAAAAATATGTTGTGATCTTAAAAAAATTGCAAATTGAAATCCAATCTGGTAAAACAGACTTACTAAGGTTTCAGAACTACCATTCTATAGAAGTTGAGTGATGTATTTCAAAATGGATTTTGTGCCAAACTTAGAACCGCATGTCTTTGGAGTTCTTCTCTTAAGTGCATTTGAGGCTCAACGAGAATCCACAAATGCTGCCATGAACAATTAGATGAGGGGAATCAATGCAGTGCATTAATGCAACAAAGTATAAGTTGGGAAATTTAATTTAAACCTCTTAAACACTAGTTTTGCTAAATAACTTAGCAATGTCAATTTAAAATGGGTCTATTTATAATCCGTATACTTTGCACTGGACTAAGTGTGTTGGGTTCTTGGTTCTTCTGATGCCCATCACCAGGCTGTGTGTATAAGAAATTACTTTTGTTTGCTTGAGAAACTTGTTTGCTTATATGGTCCAGTTCGTTTGAATGTTTTTTTAACCTTTAGGCCCTAAATCTGACTCATATTGGCTGGACGAAAAGCATCTCTATTTGCCAACCTACATAAAATGTTTGGCCAGTTTCTTACCTGTTCATTGTGAATGTGAGTACAGGTACAGACCACTGCTCACAAAATAAGAGCAGTATAATATAACAGCGACAAAAAACTGAAAAGTCCAATGTCCTTGATATTTTTCTAGTGTAACTGCACAGGGAATTGCTTTGTGTAAAGGATTTTGAGATGTACAAAAGGATGTGGGTTTGTGACTGGATATTGTGCAATATCACAGGCAAACGGAGCAGCCAATTTGCGTGTAGCAAGGTCTCAGACACAGCTATGAAGTGAATGACTAATTTATCTAGTGGAATGTCAGCCAAAAGACAGCAGGCAAAAACCCCTTTATATCCTGGCATTGTAGGTCCATTGGAGTCTAGGGAGCTGTTTGCTCTTGTGTTTTGATATTGCTGGAGCACCAGCTTTGGTCGACTCACTTTTGGTAGGATTCACTACCGTTGGTAGTCAACGTGGATGATGAAAATTGCAGCTTAATGATAAATTACAGCTTAGAGGAGAAAAATGATTGTGTGAATAGATGCCTTAGGACATTCATTACTTAGGCTTCTATTCACACAAAAATGTTTCTGTGAATGGAATGTATAAAAGGATGTTCATGACTTTATACATTTGTCCATTACATTTACATAAACTTTTAATGCAAATTAAGATTCTGTACAAAGTATATATTAAAGTAGACTTGAGGATTGACTTTGATTCTATTTATAGAAAGCTGAGGGCACCTGCAACAAATTGGCTGTTCACAGTTGGCATTTACATGGCAGAGAGTAACCTTTTATAATCCTCTTTTTAAAGCTTTACAATGCTAATAGTTTAGGCAGCCAGTGAGCCCTGTTAATTCAGTATTGAGAGAGTATTGCATTTTGGAAAATTCCTGGAAGCTGTTGGCAGTATTAGTGATTAGGAAGTTAAGACTGTGAAAGTAAAATCTCAGCAATTCTTTTGTGATTCTGGAGATGTCTGTATTGTTAATTAATTGAAGTTCCCTCTTTTAAAGATTGAAGGAATATCAAATTTAAAACACACACACACACACTTTGGGAGAATTGGATTATTCTGAGTGTATATTTCCAAATTTGCCCAATTTTCAATAGAATATTGGTGGAGGGGAAAAGAACTAAATGTTGAAATGAAACCTCATGGAGCTCATCCACTTCCACATTCTTAAAACTTAAGGACGCAATTTTGGGGGTAATTGTGAATGGTTGTCAACAGTGGTGTTGGCGTTCTGTTCTTCTGTTCACCAGTGTGTGGTTGTGAAGTGTTCAGTTCATGCTAAGCTCAGTCCTTGTTTTTGGTCAAGATGAAGGGATCAGTGGATCTTCCAAGTGTGGCTACCGGGGTTAGTAGTGACATCATTTGACTGCCTGCTATCTTTAGTTACTAGGCCACCTTCCTTGCCTTTGCAGAAGTACTACCTTGTTTTTTACTACATGATCCTGACTCATGAATGCCGTGGCCTTTGATACTGATGGTTTCTATCTATTTAGAATTGGAGAACCTTGTCATGTTATATATAAAGGTGCTTTTTAAAAATTATTTTACAAACTATTGAGCTTGTTTCTACACACTATAATGGTTGTACATGGAGAGAATTGAGTGGACTGAAAAACTGGTGCATGACTAAAGAAACAGAACAGCGGTGGCTTATTAAAATTCTCCAGCAATTTGAATGTTAATTGGGTATTGTATAACTTTAATATCCGTTCTTCAATCTTGTTGCAGGGAGAGGCTGCGGACGCATAGCATTGAATCTTCAGGGAAATTGAAGATCTCTCCAGAACAATTATATGACTTCACTGCTGACGATCTAAAGGACCTAGGGGAAATAGGACGTGGAGCCTACGGTTCGGTGAACAAAATGATCCACAACCCAAGTGGACAAGTGATGGCTGTGAAAGTAAGCAGTAATATCTGCTATTGTCAGCTATTGTTGGTACTTCAAAGGCTTAAATATAGAATAAAGTGACTTGACATCTCTGCAAGTAACAAAGTGAGCAGAGCTTCCAATTATTGAGTACGTGGAAACAAAGTTGTACATTTTTTAATTTTTCTTGATTTATTTTGTGCCCCAAGTGAGAAATTACAGTGCTGTGAATGAGCTCTTTCACACTTATCTGAATGGTACAAAGACTGGCCTAAATTAATGAGACCCATCCAAAAAAGAATCATTTGCTTCTAGACCATCGACTCACCACTGATGTCACAGATTGCACTGCTTCCTGCGAGTATACGGCAGCTTTTGTGTAGGTTTCTAAAGCTGGAAACTTACTGAACAGCTGCTGCAGACTGCCTTGTGGCCTATCCTCCTTCATTCATGCTTAAATGGACTCGCAAGGAACTATATGATGGGGTCCCATGTATATTTTGAACCTAGAGCATGTTCAAGATAAGGAATGATTCATGTATAGGATAAGGAAAACGCGTTGTGTTAGCATCATATACTTGTTGCTTAAAAATATTGGATCATTGAAATTTGAAATAAAGCTAAAATTTACATAGTTTAAGGGACATGAGGTTGCAAATAGTTTGGAATATAATTTCACAATATAGCAGTAACATTGAGAAGAAATGTATGTTAATTCGTCAAATTTGAGATTGAAACGTCCAACTAAATCAGTGATTTAATGACATTGCTGAAGGTAACTGCAGGTAAATTGTTCTCTTTAATAAGATAAGTTGTAATGTAACTTCTGATGTGTAATGCACCGATGTCCAATGTTTCAGAGAATTCGATCAACTGTGGATGAAAAAGAACAGAAACAGCTTTTGATGGACCTAGATGTTGTAATGAGGAGTAGTGACTGTCCATACATTGTTCAGTTTTACGGAGCCCTCTTCAGAGAGGTGAGATGAATTAAAAATCCTCTTTACCAATTTGTAGCGTAATATACTTTGTCTTGGACCAACAGGCAGTCTAATCGAGTTAGGTGTTCACAGTGCAGTGATGGGAAAGTAACATATCCGGTAACTGAAATCTTTCACGGCAATAGATTTAAGCTAAATACAAGACTGCATTTGTATTCAGGATGTTTTTTTGGAGTAAAAGTGTACACGCCTCAAATTGGAGCTGTCTTTCTCACTATTATCCCTTAAATTCACAAAAATGTGAAGAAATTTACATTTAGAAATTTAACAAATGTAAAGAAATTCACAAAGTGCAGACCATACTTTTTTTTACGTTTGAAAATTATGCTACACATGATGTTGAGGGAGTAATGTTTATACTCAGTGTGTTTCTTTCACTTCAATAAAATGTGAAGTGTACATTAGAAAAGACGAGTTAAATTAGTACCTAACCGACTGCACTATATATTGATGTATCAGAAGGATATTGCAGTATTTGATGAGTGCTACATTAGCAGTGTCTATACCCCTGGTTTGTCTCACCACAGTCAGGCCGTGAAATGGGAACGCAATTCACTCTCGGATTTTCTTTTATTCAGGGCGATTGTTGGATCTGCATGGAGCTCATGTCTACCTCATTTGACAAATTCTACAAATATGTATATGGTGCATTAGATGATGTTATCCCAGAAGAGATATTAGGAAAAATCACATTAGCTGTAAGTAACTTTTTAAAAAATAGACACTACCTTTCAATTATTGACCTTTACAGTAACCATTGTGCCATTTTCTTAATGTATAAGCGGGAAGGTTAGTCAAATGTACAACAATTCTAGACTGGGAGTGCCCTCATAATTTCTAGGATAAAGGTCACAGTTATAGCAGTCGCCTCTTAAATATTGAGTTGAAATAACCGAAACGGTAAAATTCAGATCAGAACATGAACTCCCCTACTCTGATTAGTATAATTACTGCTGTGCAAATGATATCCCTCTTCAGCAGAAGATAACATTGCCCAAGTGTAATTTCTGGAGAGAGACCAATCTCAAGGTATACTGTTATCCATTTAGATGGCATTTATTACATTTGGAAATAATGGAGAGATTTCTGTTGTTGCCCCAAATTACTCTTTTCAATAAAAATGCAGTTTTCTCTGTTCAGTTGTCAAAAATGGAAAGCTTTCAAAGAAGTCACATCACAGAAGATTATCAGATTGAATTGATTCAAAGAGTTTTCAATAACATGAGAAATGGAGAACTTAACATTAGTTACAAATAAAATTATGGGGTGGGGGTGATTATCCGGAGTCTCCTTGCGTGTTTAATGAATGGAGCCAGCCACGAGAATAAAGGTTGCAGCTCCTGTATTTATAATGTGTGGGCACAGCATCAACTGTAATGCGAAGCTCTTGCAAGCATTTACAGTGGTTATTAGGATTGGCAAACACTGAGAAGCTTTAGGCCGTGCGTTACTGAAGAGCAGTATAATGGGATCCTGACTGCAATTGGTTTTGAGAAAGTCTGCATGATGTTGACTAGTTTTTCTCCTCTTTCAGACTGTGAAAGCACTTAACTACTTAAAGGAAAACTTGAAAATAATTCATCGAGGTAAGAATCTCAACTGTTAACAAATGAAAGAAATGGTGGACTTCCCTCTCCCCCAACTATTATTGTGAGAGCCTTTAGTAGCATATTCAATATTTATGACCATTAAATAACATAAGTGTATTCTTTATTCACTGCTTCCTCCACACCCCAGCCCATTGACTTTCATGGTAATCAAAGCCAGCCTGTGTGTGACAATTGAGCCACAACTCAAGGATTGTGACCCTGGCTGCCACGTTAGCAGTCGCTCCCTTTTGACTTAAACAAGTCTCCAGAATTGCTGATGTTCCATTAACCAGCGGTGGAAGCTAGAGATCCAGTGTTAGGGGATCCTCTGGCCTTTTGCCCCAGGTAGTGTAAGAGACACAAAAGCAGCAGTGGACCCCATTTGGTTTGGCTAAAATTAATGATTGCCATCAAAATCTAGTAAAACATTGCTGAATTCAGAAATCATTGTTGCCAAGTCCACACTTCCATATGCATGAACTACACAGCCTGCAGCTGTGCCCACAAACATTGTCTTAGTTTCACAGGATCAGTGTGGAGCAGCAGCAGGTGTGGTAGACTCCCTGAGGTATCCATCATTCCAATAAGTGAGGAAGTTGGATGCATGCAGCTGGCTTAGAATTTGAGTAAATCCAAAAAAAAGTTAACTTCTCCCCTTCACAAGACTATTCTAAATTATTCTAATTGACAGTGGGGGGCGGCTGGGGAGATGTGCAATAGGTGCTTCCAGCTCTTACAGAGTTGAATTATCAAGCTTTACTGAAGGAACCTGAGTGTTAAAGTTAACTCTGCTCCTTATTTGCTTATTCTTCGAGATGTCTTGAAGACAAACTTTGCTATTTTTTCCCTAACCCAGGGATGCTGAGGCCATGGCTTTGCTGAAACAAGTAGGTTTGAAATATTTAGAGTGTGCACTGGATTTCTGAGTGATATCAGTACTTGACTTCTGTGCATCGTGAATTTCAGTCACCACCTATTTGCGGCTGATCTCATACTTTTAGTGTGTAATTCTGAGTTTGTTATGTTGCAGACATCAAACCTTCCAATATTCTTATGGACAGGAATGGCAATATTAAACTTTGTGACTTTGGTATTAGTGGACAGTTGGTAGACTCCATTGCCAAAACCAGAGATGCAGGATGCAGGCCATACATGGCGGTAAGACACAACATTGATTGTTTTGCTTCAGTTACAATTAACCAAGTGTCTAATTGGAATTTTGTGGTTGATTTATGCACCTTGTTAGTTTACATATAATAGTCTGTGTTGGCATGAAAAAGGTGCTGTCTAAAATCTTCTCCAATGATTTGTTTCTCAGTTTAGAATTGACTGTTAAGGTTAGTCTCTTTTTTAAATAATACAAACTTTTTCATAATTAAGACAAGTCCTCGGTTTCAAATAGCCTTGAAAGTAGCCAACAGGGAACATTTTCTTGACTGCTAAAGCCTTGCCTAATCATTCTGCAGTGAAATTGTAATTAAATGATCCAGTTGGTTTCAAGCTCTCCAATTACCTTTTAAAGAGAAAGTGAGCCAAAGGTAGTCAATTGTCATGACTACTTACTGATTGGATTTGCTTTTCTTTAATTGATATAAATTTGTTTTAGCTCCCTGAATTTCCTCTAATGGAAATATTTTATTATAATAACAATCCTGGTATTGTTACCACTAATATAGCACCTTATCATGTCATTCAATTGCCTCAAAGTGCTTCACAGAACATATTGCAAAGTGGATTGACTGTTAAATGGGCGAAATGCAGTACCCGATTGCGCACAGAAGTGTCCCATTAGCAGTCATGGATGAAGTAAGGAATCTTGCCTAAGGTTCATCCCACCCACGAATCGCTCCCGGGTCCTCTCGCTTGCGAGGCGAATGCACTAACTGCTACGAGACTCCACATTTTGTGTTCATTTGGGCCATTTAGGTTGCTGTTTTTTAAAGAAAACCCTTGAGTAAACTGTTCATTAAGGAATTACAGCTTCTAAGATATTCCTCTAGCTCTCATGGGGACATTGGATGGAGGGGATATCTTTGGGCCTTGAGCTTGTACTAGTCTCGGCTGAGTGCAGTGCTGGCAAGTCCTCTGCTGCATAATGATCCCATGACACTTTTCAAGACGTTTTTAAAAGAGGAAGTTCCTTCTGGTCCAGCAAAACTCCAGATTAATGATCATTTACCTTATGACTGATTGTGTGGGACCTTGCTTACACAAATGGCTGCTGTGATTGTCTATAAAAATCATCCCGCTTGACTAATTACTTTTGAAGTGCTTTGAGATGCTTGGCATGACATGGAGCTATAAGAATGCAAATTATTTTATTCTATGATGAAGACCGATTAATCTTATACGGCTGCATCTAATATTGTCAAGTTTTGTTTGAATTAGTCAATTAATGTGTCACTTTAGTGCAATCTGAACTGTGTGATAAAATGTTCTTGTAATGGCTAGTGACGCAAGGGGTATGATACTTTTGCTGATTTTAATTGCAGAAAAATATAAAATTGACAACAGAAATAACCAACTCAAAATGGGAGCAAAGTTGCAATCGTATAGTTGATTTGTTTTTTCTGCTTTTACTGCACTCAATTCACTGGTTTAATTGAATTCAATTGAGTTCTTTCACATGCATGTGTATTCAGAGAGGAACATAGTACAGGAAAACATGCATATGAAAGAATTGGATTGCATTTTTGAATGCACTTGAAAATAAATGTTCCAAGTAAGGTTCCATGAGTAGCGGTACAATATCATTGTGGAAATTTAAATATTGGTAACAAACAGGGATGTCAAATGTTCATTACAAAACACGCCATAGTTGAAACAGTTCAGGTGTTGCATCTAAGATTCTAAAAAACTGATCCCATCTCATAGGTAGAGCATAGTCTTTATTGTAAATTACAAGATGAGCAGACTGAGATGGCTTTGTGGCTGCTGTGCTTTAGTTTCCTATCTAAATTTGGTAGTTGCCTTTCAACCAGTGGTCAGCCTTGTATTTGTAGATGTGCCTAATGAATACGGTATTTACAATTCATTCTGTACTTTTGGTCTTTCCCAGTCTAAGTGAGCTCAGGAAAGAGGCATGTGGCTTGCATCATATATTTGCTTCTTCCTGTTTGATACAATAACTGCCTGTAGCTTGGATTAGGATTTGTTTCTCTCCACCAGAAAAAGTGCCACCTGACTGGAAAATTTGAATTAAACTTGGGTCTAATTGTTAAACTGTTTAGTTTTGTCCAGTACTTAGTTTCAGGCAGTTTTTTTGCTTTTAGTTATAAACTAACATATTTAAAGCTGGACATGGCCAATTCCTGGATTATAAAGATTAAAGATTATACAAGAAGTTTATTTTAATGAGATTTCTAGATTATTTTATTACATTATAGTAGATGTAGCACTTTGCTAAGTTTTAGCTTTGCTGAAAGTACAATGCCTTCTTACAGAGCCAAATAAATTGGGATTTACGAAGCATAGACATGACTTAAACTTTGGAACGGAGTGCTTTATTGTCGACAGCACAAGCTGATGTAATGTTCTAAGTTTAGGCAGTAAAAGCCCTGAACTGGGATGACGACATTGGCTCCATTCAACTTTTGAATGAGTGAGAGGAGGTATTTTCTCATCTTGAACCATTGGAGCTTTGAGGTGACATAATTGGCATCCCTTTGATAAAGTAGATTTTGCTCATTGCACAGGCATTTCAGGAATTGCTCTGAACTCTAGTGATGTCAGACTTGTGGACGAAAGCCATGCTGCCTTCAGTTGCTGTGGAAAAAATGTATGTCGTTTTGGCTGCTAATGGTGTGTTGACCTTAATTTCTGAAAACATTGCATGAATCCTTGTTTCAGAAATAGCATAACCAGGGCAATTGTAATGCCATACTTGGTTTAATCTTGTGTAGTGATTAATTCCAAACTTATGGAATTGACAAAAAGCTCCTGAAAGGATTTTAAGGTGTTTATTTACTAGAAACTATTGTATCTGTCCCATACCAAGTTGGGACTAAGTGCAATTTATTAATAGTTCCAGTATTCAATAGTAATATGATTTTTTAAAAACTGCAGTGTAACTTTTGCACTGTTACTGTAGTCTTGATTCTACTGTTCAACTCTTAAAGGTATTCCAGTTATTTTTCCCTGCAACTTTTAGTTTAGGATTTTCTGACTTTTTTTAAAACAAAAGTAATTTACTTAGAAATCGTCAATACACTTCACAGAAAATCTTGAAGTGCTTTGAATGTCTTGACAATGTGATCAGGCACTATCAATTGCAAGGAGCATTATTAATCAATCAGCCCTTTGTTACCGTATCAAGTTGGTGAGAGTCAAAGTCTGTCAGATTGTTGGGTCACATATACAGATAAGGGAACCGAGAGAGAACCTTTTCTCTCAGTGACTCCGGCTCTAGCCATATTACAAGGTTATGCACATCTGTCCCGGGAGAATTATTCCTTTGAAGTTCAGGGCAGCTGGAGGTATAGGCAGTAAACTTCCTGAATATTTGCAACCAGTATCTTAATTTTTTTCTCTTCCCTCCCCAACTTCCTCCCAAAGTTAAGTGATTTCGCATTCTTGGGGAAGTTGGCACAATTGTACACACAAGTTTTTCACATGAAATCTGTACTTCACATTAATGCATTGACATTATGTTCCCATCTGGAAGTGTAACTACTGTGTGTGAGTGCAGCCTTTTCACAACGTAGAAAGGCCTTTTCCACTTGAGCATTACCTTTTGGTCTGATTTCCCACGAGAAAGCAGTCCTACTTTTAATAATACAAAACCCGTAAAGGAGTTCTCTTCTGCAGTCTGCTGGCAAAGTACATTTCAAGAGGAAAGCAAGAGGTGGGGTGGGACCCAGATTGTTAAGGTTTATCTTTTTTTGGCGATCAGTAGTGTTTGCCAAATAAAACAAAGGCTGACTGGAAGGAAGGGGAAAACAGGCTTGATCCAGTGGCTTTAAAACTGTGAGGGTGTATTGTACTAAGTATACATTAACACACAAGAATGTAGTATAACAATAATAATTCTTGAATTTGATATAGTGCCTTATCACGTCGTTGAGACGTTTCAAAGTACTTCACAGAATGTATTGTAAAGTCAATTGACTGTGTTTTGTGGGTGAAATGCGGCATCCAATTGCGCACACATTGTTTGGTATGATAGGGGATTAATACTCAGATGTGGAGTTTGAATCGGTAGCACATTAACATCTGAAGTCAAGTTAGTTAATTGTTTTGTTGAGAACAATATTTGTTGGATAAAACCTTTGTGGTTGGATATTCTACATTCTAGCAACCCTCTCTGTAATACAAGAATTAATTTCCAGCAATTCCAGCTTTAGAACTTGGACCATGTTAAAGAATGTTTTTTGGGGATAAGATGCTGTGATCCTCCTGGAACAATTCCTGGGAAAGCAGGATCGTTTAGAATAGCAACTTTGTGAATACAACACAATTTACACTTCTATAGCACCTTTCAAACCAGGAGGACTTATCAAAGCACTTGATACTGCTGGTTCGGCAAGAATACTTTCCTTGTCAATCCAGTTTTCTCAACGCATTTAATCATAATTGGACAGAAATAAATGGAGATATAGATGGACTCCAGCACTCTTTACAAACCTCTGCAGGTATAAAAACAGTTTGACTCCTATTAAGTTTGCAAGCCACACCAGTCAGACGGCGATTCAAGCATGGTGACGGGTTCGAAAGAGAGACAGGGCTGGGGGTGGGGGGGGGAGGGAGAGCAAATGCTGCTTGGCTGGCCGGCATAAATAAATGCTTTGGAAATTAAAATTTGATTCCTTTATTGTTGCTTCTAATGGGATTTGCAGGGAACCAGCCGAAGATATGTAGCAGAACACAGAACTAGAAAACTGGCTTTCCCAATTTTCTATAGGCAGATTTTCTGTCATTTTGGAGTCTATACAAGGTAAAGTTTTCATTTAAATAACTTGTGTTTCATTGAAACATCAAACCAGCCAGCTCCACATTGCTGCTGGACTCGTCTATGGACAGATATGGCAATAAATGAACTGTGAGACCTACTTTCCGTTCCTGCACCAATCTGGGAGATTTTGTCAAGAGAACAATGCATATCTACAGGCCCCTTGAGACTGTTTCTTTGGCCTCAAAAAATTGCTGTATTTTAGTGTTGAGAACTTTTCTTTTGAGAATTGTTCCTTTAACTTATTATTCATAACTGGGCCTTTTGTTTTATGTCAAATGAGAAGAAACTGGGCAATGAGCACGGCTGCTATCGAAAGATCGACTGACTTCATTTTAGCTCTGTGTGGATCCAGGGGCCAGCATTGTATGCGAGTCAGGGCAAGAATTAAATTGGACTATTTTATGTTTTCAAAGGCATTTCTGGTTTCAGGAAAGCTGCCAGTTTTAAAGAGCTTAGGGCATATTCCATGTCATCCTCCTTACATTCTCAGTGGTTTCCAACAACCATGAGGCAGTTTTTAATGAAAAAGCTTTAGATGTGGCGTTCATGCACATTGTGAAGCAGAGAGATATGCCTTTGAGTGCTTACATGCATATCGCAGCTACTGAAGCATGAATATTTCCACCACAAATCTCAGCATTATCTTTGACGTGTACTGAAATTAACCTCAGCTGCAGCATGGTGGACTAATTTCACTCAATTTTTAGAGGTGTAGGTGTCTTATTTGGTTGTCCGGATGTCTGATGAGCATGAAAATCCTAAACTACAGTATGGAAACGGGCCATTCATCCCAACTAATCCATACCAAAATAGGAAGGGTGGAGGCTTGTGTGAAGTATAAACACCAGCACGGACTAGTTGGGCCTAACAGCCTTTTTCTGTGCTGTATCATTCTATGTAATTCTTCTTTTGACCTCTGGAGGATTGGGCAACACATCCAACGTTGGTTAATTACTAATCCTTTCGTGACTGCTGGAATTTAGATCTCTGTTATGTAACCCAGTTTTGTGTTATAATGGTGGTGTATGTTCGACTCAGAATAAGCTGTGAAGTAAATTACTGGTTGGTACTTACAACTCACAACAGCAGCTCACTCAATTTTAATCTCTCTTCCTATTTTTTCTCTCTCTCACTCAGTCAACAATGCTTCCTGAAAAATCTGTGGGAAAGTGTGAGCCAGGTTGCTCTGTTTCACTGTTGTTTTAAAGCTGGCTGGCGCAGGAAGATGGCCATGATGTGCAAAGTACTTTCAGATGTTGTCCAATAGGGACCTGGGTGTCTTGTTTGAGCCTGAACTGTCCTTTCTCCCCCACATCCGCACCATGACCGGCACTGCCTACCACCACCTCCGCAACATTGCCAGACTCCGCCACTGCCTCACCCCTCAGGCTGCCGAAACCCTTACCCACGCATTCGTCACATCAAAAATCGGTTACGGGAACTCCCTTCTCATCGGCTTCCCAACTCTTCCCTTCACAAGCTGCAGATCATCCAAAACTCTGCAGCTCGTGTACTCTCGCGCACCAAACTCTATGACCCCATCACTCCCACCCTCGCCTGACCCCACTGGCTTCGCATTCCCCAGAGGATCGAATTCAAGATCCTCGTCCTCATTTTCAAGGCCATCCATAGCCTCGCCCCCTCCTACCTCTCTGACCTGCTGACTCCCTACCAACCTGCCCGCTCCCTCCGTTCTTCGGGCTCTGACTTGCTCCATGTCTCGCGCCCGACCCGCTCTACTATCGGTGGCCGGGCTTTCAGCCTCTCTGCCCCCAGACTCTGGAACTCCATCCCACAGTCCCTTCGCCTCGCTTCCTCCATTGCCTCCTTCAAGGCCGGTCTCAAGACCTTCCTCTTCAATCGCGCCTTCAGTTGCCCTCCCTCCTCTGCCTTCCCTCACCCCTACCCCACCCTCCCCATGCTCGGGTCCTGACCTCTGACTGTCCAGCACCTTGGGATGTCCTCCCGACGTGAAAGGCACTCTATAAGTGTCATTTTGTTGTTGTTGTTAGCTTGATCAAATGCTTTGTCCCTGAAATAGTGAAATCATTTGATGGCCAAATGCAATTTTATTTCAACCTGCATTGTCGTACTCTATCTAGAAATGATATTTAGTGTATATTTACACATTTATAGTTCAGCAAAGAAATATCTTCCAGGTGCATATCATTCCATCTAATGAGCATTTAGAGCCATTTGCTGAGCAAATATTTGATGTTCAGACATTATAATCTTAAATATGGATATGGAGGGGAGAGTAAAATCCCTTCCGAATCGTGTTGTTCTGAAGTATTTAAAAAAAGGCACTTTAATTAAGTGTACTCTTATATTCTCATATCATGAGAGCTCCTCTAAACTCGTGTAATCTCAATTGAAAAGTGCTTACTCATTTTAATTGTGCAACTTCTGTGTGTTACTCATCATAGCTGTGGTTTGTGCACATTGAAAGTGTGGCACTTTTGAAAGTACCTGAAATTGATTATTGAACCATTCTCTGCCCTCCTTATTTAATAACATTAACTGTATGTTACAGTGAGTTTTTTTTAAAAGTGTATATACCTTAAGCATTTAAAATTAGGTGAGTATAAGCCACGGAAAGAAAGTATACCAAAGTTAGTATGTCAAAGTACCAGCTGTACTTAGTGCATTCTTTCCATCTACCAGCTTTCAAAACACTGACACGGTTAAAATAACTATGAAATGTTATTCAATGTGAGAGTGACCTAGGATGCCCAGCGTAGGAAGGGTCGTGCCTGGATTAATTGATCTGTGTGATGAATTTGCTGACTTTACACCTTGTTGAAGATTGTGTGGCAATAAGCGGTGCCATTCACTGGAGGACTGGTGTCATTGAAGCATTGGAAAGGGATTAATTGCACTCTACGTAGCCTTGAAACTGCAGAAGGTGGTGGAACATTCCTTGTTCGATTGTGATTTTCCTACTTGGACTTGTGGAATGCTACACTTTGGAGTTACCGAGTGTCAGTGTTCAGTTAGTGTAAGCCCAATCTTGTGATACGGCCTTCAGAGGGACTTATTCAGATCCACCCAGTGGGCTGAAGGGCACCTTGTGTTTATTGTGTGAAGCACTTCCAATAAAGACCTCGGAATGTCCTTGTTGACATATTCTGTATAGATTATTTAAAAATTGAACCGCATTCCTTTTGACAGGCATATATACACTTGTTCTTATTGGAATTTCAGGATTGTGTGAAAAAGGCAATGATCAGATCAATTCTTCAATAGATTGTAGCCAATATCAATAAAGTACAGTGGACTAAACTGATTTTTTTCTCTTTGTGTGTGTGTGTGTGTGCATTCCTCTCTTGTCTCTCTTCCCCCCACCCCCACCCCTAAGCCTGAAAGAATAGATCCAAGTGCTTCAAGACAAGGCTATGATGTGCGATCGGATGTTTGGAGCTTGGGAATCACATTAGTGAGTAAAATGCAACCAAGTTTTCAAACTGACCTTTAGTCATGAATGTTATTACAGTGGTTGATTCCATTAAAAAATAATTTTAATTAGAGAAATAAAATGTTTTTTAATATAAAAACGTACAGCAAGACTGCAATGGATAAATTTTGGTTATCATGTTGGTCAAATGTGTGTGTGGTGTGTGTAAGTCATTGGCTGATATCTTATTCTGTGTTCCTTAGTATGAGCTAGCCACTGGCCGATTCCCGTATCCAAAATGGAACAGTGTATTTGATCAGCTCACACAGGTGGTAAAGGGAGATCCTCCACAGCTCAGCAACTCTGAGGAGAGAGAATTCTCCCCCAGCTTCATCAACTTTGTCAACCTGTGGTAAGAATACTGATTGACGTGTTGCACGTCAGGGCAATTCGACTCAAGCTTTTTAAAAAAATAAATAGCTTTTTAACCACGACAAATAAATCTATGGCAAACCATAACGACCAAGGTTTGAGCAGGCAGCATTGGAAATGTCTGCCTTCAGACCTTCCTGTTTGACCATGTTCTCGGCCATCTTCTCCCACCCTCTGCCCTGAGACTCCTTGACCCGTAACCCCAGCTCGGTTACAAAGCTTAGACTATCCAGTCCCTTGGGGCATACTTCCGAAAGCTGCTATATAAAAGTAAATTTATATTGTAATATCTATCCAAGTTGCTTAAGTTTTAAACTAAAAGCACCCTTGTGCATTTTGATTGAGGTTTGTGGAATATAGGAAGGAAGCAAGTGGGATAATCAAATATAGAGTCATAGATTCGTACAGCACAAAAAGAGGCCATTCGGCCCATCGAGTCTGTGCCGGCTCTTTGAAAAGAGCATTGTAATGTCAATCCCACTCCCCGGCCCTTTCCCCATAACCCTGCAGACCGGTCCTCCTCAAATACCCGTCCACTGCATTTTTAAAAGTAGTTATCGAATCGGCCTCGACCGCCCTTTCAGGCAATGCGTTCCAGATTCAAACAACTCGCTGCGTGAAAACATTTCTTCTCCCCTCCCCTCGGCTTCTTTTAGAGACTGTTTTGAATCTGTGACCTCGAGTCACTGACACACCCACCAGTGGAAACAGTTTTTCCCTTTCTGACCTATCAAATCCCCTCATGGTATTGAAGACCTCTATTAGGTCCTCGTAACCTTCTCTGCTCCAATGAGAATAATCCCGGCCTCTCTCGCCTTTCCTCATCATCATGGTCCTTCATTCCTGGTACTATTCTTGTAAATCTCCTCTGCGCCCTTTCCAATGCCTTCACATCCTTCCTATAGTGCGGAGCCCAAACTGAGCGCAGTATTCTAATTGAGGCCTAACCAGTGTTTTATATAGGTTAATCATCACCTCATAAATAAATAAATCTAATGCTAACCACCACAAGCAAATATAATGTTAAATGACTTAATATTCCAGGCAGCCTTTTACTGTTGCAACATTAAAAGCTTAAGCAATCCAACCATTGATGTCAGCACAAATTTGCAGTCTTGAGATGGTGCATTGAAATTTGCTGCCATCTTCTGTTCGTGTATAGATTGAAATTTGTTATGGTTCAATTAACAGTAGTAGTTATGGGTGCCTTTGGGAGCAAAGAGATTAACTGAAATGCCGATATACCATTAGGAATTGATGAAAAAAACGACAATCTAAAAATGCTTAAGGAAGTATGCCTCTGCACTGCCAGGATTAAAATAAAGTATTGTATCCTCTACAGTCCAATTTAATTTGGGTGTTAATAATAATAATCCTTGCATTTGATATAGCACCTTATCCCATTTTTGAGATGGATCAAAGCACTTCACAGCATATACTGTAAAGTGAATTGACTGTATATTTGTGTGCTATATTTAACCAACTGGTTAAATTTATAGTTGACTGAGTTTTATCCACTATAGTGGTAGGAAGTCTCTGTTTCATTGACCAGATGTCAGAAGTTGAATTGCCATTTATATCAAGTGCCTGTTTAATTTGAGTTGCTCCTGTTTCTAGTCATTTTGGGGTGTGGAACTAGTTTTTCGGCATTGACTAACTTTGCTTTTCAACGCTTTTCATCTCTTCTAGCCTTACAAAGGATGAATCCAAAAGGCCAAAGTATAGAGAGCTTCTGGTGAGTTTAATTTTTGAGCCCTTGTGCTGGTGAGCATAAGGTACTATATTTTTTTCCTTAATTTAGCTTCAAAGTGTCTGAAATCCATTTTTGATGCTAAAATCTATGGTTCAATTTCTCCTCTTTGCCTGGGATTAGACAAAGAATGTTGACCGTGTGTGTGGGATTGCTGTTATCCAAAGAGGTTTCATGTGAGATATTAACAATTAAAGAGCTGCAATCAAAGTTCACTGTGTTATCGTCTGATAGAATATATGTTCATTGGAGGGAAGATGTTTGTTTGGTATTTGTGGAACATACTAAGCTAAGTCTCACTGCTTTTACTTATTCAGAAACATCCTTTCATCTTGATGTATGAAGAGCGTAAAGTAGCAGTTGCAGGCTACGTTTGCAAAATCTTGGATCAAATGCCTCCAACCCCGATTTCCCCAATGTATGTTGATTAATTTGCTGCTGAAAAAGATCGATGAGAAAAATCAAGGTGTAAAGATTTATGTGGCACATTGCAGTGTTTCTATTTTTAACTTGCCCAAACAGACCGTGCAATAAAAAATTGGTGTTCATTTTCTTTTGTGTCTGGCCACTATTGTCCCATCTGAAAAGCATCCTTCTCATAGTAGCGAAGTCCATCATAAGTGTATTTGTCTGGAGCAGAGAGCGAAAGAGTCGTTGTCTTTCCAGGATAGTTGTGTGGAGTCTGGTAATGTGTTCCATTTAACCTGAACTATGTTGGGACATTATGCAACGGAGGAGTTTTTAAAAACTGGAGACTTCTCAGTTCATTGCTGGAAAGGCCACGTCTTTCAAACAAGCATAGACTATTTCAGTCAACTCCAAGCAATCCGATGCTTTAATAGATATTGGGCGTTTTGCCTTCAATGAAAGGAAATTTGTACATGAACAGGATACTTTGATACCACCTCGTGCAAGATTGAGGAAATTTGCTTCACAAAGTGCAATAGATTTACTGATTTTAATTCTGTTGCGTTAGTTAGTGTATATCATGTAGGAGTAAATTCACCTGTATTTTACTGTTAATAAATTTGTTTAATAACTGAACAGCATTTCTTTCACCAAAAAATCATGTGGACAGAGGTTGATGATGCAAAGAGAGCGGTAATCCCCTATAACTGACTTTTATATAAATAAGTGTGTGATCACTGTACAGTAAATTTGTAACCCTTAGAAAACAGGCGAATCACCTGCGAAAAATTTGTTTTTAATCTTGTCTATTGAAACCTGAAGAGAAGTGGTAGCAGGTGCTTTGAAGTACTTTGTGAACAACATGCTTAAAGGGCAAAAGCACGCTGGCAACAAAATTAAGGCTTGTATTGAAAGAATAAATACTTTCCCGTTTGTTAATCAGTCTGTAAACGTGCACAGTGATGTCTCAGTATGTTAGACAAAAGCAAGATGTGTATGGATTGTACAGTAAGCAGCCAACAGATTTTTTTATGTTACTCACTGAGGTGCTCCTACCACGGTTTCAACATACTGTTTTTATCTGAAATTATTGATACACAATAGACCTGTGTAACTAACGGCTGAAGACTTTGTGTAACCCTGAGTTTAGCCGTGTTCTAATTACACAAATCTGCTTCTTGGTTTTGTTATTAGCTCGTTTTTTTTAAAAAAACACTCCTGCCCCATAAAATCAAAATGGATTACAAACTGTTCGGCATTGCAGTATTCTAAGTAATATTGAAACTGCGCAAGACCAAAAATGGTGACGATTACTTGGCCCGGAACCTGCCAGACTGGGAAAATTACTATTGATTAGAAAATTGGAGTAGCTAGAAAAACGGGAATGGTGATTTTTTTTATTGCACAGAAAGCAGGAACATTCTGCTGCAGAGTCCTCGGCTGTTCTTTTGCATACTAACATCTGGCAGGGGGAGTGTGGGAGAGGTTACTTTTTGGGGTGGGAGCTGGACTTTTGACTGGAATATTTTGTGGTGGACGAGTACTTAATCTGCTTCATAGAATCATGTCATACACGTACTGAATTCTGAAGATTGATCCTCTGCCTGCTTTACCCCTTCAACACATGCCCCCACTTCGCCCACCCCCAACCCTCCTTTCCCTTGTTTAGCAGTTCAGTTATAAACATTCAACTCTGCGCTGTTCGATGATGGGGGAAAACAAACGCGTGTGGCGAGAACGTCAAGGGACTTTTCTTTTAAGCTTCGAGTGGAATGCCTGTAAAAATCGGCAATTGGTATATTAATCTTAGATTATAATCTATTAAGGGTGAGGAGTATATTGCAATGTATCTTTTAAAAAAGGTGTATAATGGTCACAAACTGTGAAAATAGAATAAAAACTGTACATTGTGAAATTTGGTTAATTTTTTTTCCTGTACGATAGAAAAATGTATAAAAACAAATCAAAGCTGATGTACAGGGATGATGCCTTACTCGTCTGTGAAAGCTGAGCTCACTGAACACCACAAAAGCATTACTTTTAAGGAGCTCAATGGATATTTCTTATCCTGTATACTGGTTTGACTTCTTCCTATATTTAAAACATTATATATGGAATCTAAGTGTTCATGTAATAGTTCTATACTCTTGCCTGCAGGTCAGTTGTAATAAAACTAGGATGTGACTGTGACCTTGTCCTTGTTTTTGTAAGGTCTGAAACACACAATTGCAAAAATAAAAATTATACATTGAAATACTGGATAAAAGTGCACAATTTGACCTTTTTTTAATTTAAAAAAATTGCTGGATGTTTTTGATTTCAGTGACCCTTATCTGCATCTCTCACTCCAATGGCTCAATAGTTATACTCTTGAACCCCTCCCCGATATCTGCGTATTGTTGCATATTTTACTGTTCAGGTGAGATTTGAGTGACCTCGCAGAATCCTCACACCTTCACTTCATCCTCCTCCAACTCTCTCTCTCTTCCTCTTGGGCCCTCTCTCGTCTCCCCCTCATCACCTCGAAGAATACAACAGAAAGTACCTTTCTCTGATGTATTGCCAGTGCTGCACTCCGAACAGAGTAAAGCCCATATCCTATCTGGAAGCCAAAGGGTAAATCGCCCAGTGAGTGCTGAGCCTCAAAGACTGTGGAAAATTGTCCATTTCCTGGCTTAATCGCTTTGACCATCAATTAAATTCCCTAATTGCGGTTTTCAAGAGTATTTTTGGTAACTGCTTTTGGCCAATTATAACCCTGGGAGGAAGGATCTGTTTTTTTCAGCACAAACCCTGTGTGACTGCTCAAGCTTCCAGTTTTCCAACTGTTGTGATTTCTACGCTAGTTTTACCAGCAGGAGAATCCGACTTTACCATCAGGTTAGTTCGAAGGTGAACTTTTAAGACTAATTGACTGCAGAAGAACCGGCTGTAAATTGTGGGCCATTTTACCCACTATCATCCAGGACTCGTCAGTGAAAATTCTACCAGTCTTTCCCATCCTGCGATGTCCTGCTGTAACTCCACTGGTTATTCCAAGTGGGGACACCGGGTCACTGGAAGTGTGACATGTTGAGCTGTGGGCACGGAATGCTGCTATGAATGTGGATTGTAATGGAACGCAGCCTGACGGTGTGACGGACCTGGTTATCGGAAGGTGTCCTCACCCCCATTCCCTTATTTAGTGAATCCCATTAGCAGTCTCCGCACGACATCACCCCACCCCCAATTCCCAAACAAAATATTGTTTGAAAGAAATCCGAGCCGGCGGCCTAACAAATATGTTAACCATCTGTCCACAAAACCCCACGCTGTCCTTGGCAAACGCTCGCTCTCCGTGTCAAAGGTTGATAACCGCCGCAAGCGATAAAACGTGCGACCAGGTCGGGTCGAGACAAAGTGTGCTTTTCAGTTTTACCGCACGTTACATACATCTTTCCACTTCCTTCTTCTCTGAATCATTATCCCGTGTTTACTACTACTTAATAGTTAAGTTGCCAGAAGATGTGTGTTAACCAGCATACCTTCTAATTTATTATTATTGTTATCCATGCTTTTGACAAAACCTGTGGCAACATATCTCTTGGCCGATAAGTCTCCAAATTAATTGGCTTTGTAGGCTGCCACATTGGCTGTAAAAGCCGACACTACATTGGAGCATAATTCCCTATAGTGTCCTTCGTTACTAAAGCACTAAAAATGAAAAAAAAAAGGAATATTCACACAATTTTCGATGTGCAAGGTATATCTGCCTATATCTACAAATAACCGTCCCCGTGTACGGCTGAAAGGTGTGGCAGCAATCGCGCAGCAATCTTGAGAAATTCTCTGTCCAGTTAAGTTTCAGCGCTGTGTCTCTGTTGATGATATCTACCAGTAATCTCAACGATCAGTTTTAACGGCAAAGAAAAAGGGAACTGAGCTGAAGCCGGAACATTACTCACTCGCTGGGCAGCGATTAAAAACAGCTTTTTTTTTAAAAAAAAAAGTACTTGGGAGTTGTTTTTCTTAAGTCACCGAGTGGGGCTGCGGGTGGGTTCAGGTCGTACCGATTCATCTGATGGGAAAAGCCTCGTCGGTGAAAGCTTTGCGTCCCCCCCCCCCCCCGGTCTCTCCGAGCTCGCACGGAGCTGCCGGATCGTCCTGCCGCAATCCTCCGCCCCCCCCCCCCCCCCCCACTCCTTCGTCATCTTTAAATCCCACTTCAAGATCCACCATTTCGGCCTACGTTCGCTTCCCGTTCGTCCTCCCTTTGGCTGAGCGTCCAACCCCGGCACTGGGGAGTGCGCTGAAATGCCGGGCACCAGCACCAAAACAGGCCCTCCCCGTCCTGCCGTGTTGGTGTCCCCTGAACCCTGGCGCGGCCTCGGTTGCCGGTGGTACCACTCGCTCGGGGTGAGAGCAGTGGCAGCCGACGCACTGACCATCATCGTGGCCGCGGTGGTGTGGCTTTACCCCCCGGCTCCCGGCTAACCGGCCGCCTGCTCGGGCGAGGGGCCGAGTTTGTCTGCGCGAGGAGGGGGGGGGAAGCGCAGAGGTGTGACGTGGGTGAGTGTCGGGCAGCGGATTTGTGGCCATTGCCATTCGGTAAGTTTCCCGAATCTGTGACGTCCCCAACGTTCAGCGGAGACGGGACTCGGTTTAACGTCTGAACCGAAAGGGCAGAACCGCTGCCAACACAGTGCTCCTCCCAAATCCACTGCCAGAACGTAGCCTCTCCCACTGCGCTCCACAGGATACACTGGGAAGTGAAGTGACTGTGTTGTGGGATAAACGGGGCAGCCAATTACGCACAGCAGCGTCCCCCCCCCCCCCCACACACCCACATACACCCACCCCCCCCCACACCACCCCCCCACACAGACCCACATACACACCCACATACACCCACCCCCCCACACCCCCTCCCCCCCCCCCCCCCCCTCCCCCGGCGGTGTCCGAGGCTCCGCGGTTGCAGGACAGGATCTCTCGCCGCTATAGGGCCGAGTGTGTGTGTGTGTGGGTGTGTGAGGGTGTGTGTGTGGGGGGTGGGGGGCACAGACATGGAGCCCTATGAGCCGCTCCCGGCGCTGCTGTGGAGGCTCTGCGCCCTCTGTATGAGCGCCTTCTTCTCTCTCGCCGCCGGAGTACAGGTGAGGATCGGGGGGTCAGTCAGCGCTGTGCGGCCCTGAGGCTGACCCCCCGCCACTGACCCCCACACTGACCCACACACACACACACACACACACACACACTGACCCCCGCACACTGACCCACACACACACACACACTGACCCACACACTGACCCACACACACACCCCCACACACACCCACACTGACCCACACACTGACCCACACACTGACCCACACACTGACCCACACACTGACACACACTGACCCACACACTGACCCACACACACACACACAGACACACACACTGACCCCCCCGCCACTGACCCACACACTGACCCACACACTGACCCACACACACAGACACACACACACCCACACTGACCCACACACACACCCCCACACTAACCCACACACACACACACCCCCACACTGACCCCCACACACTGACCCACACCACCCCACCCCCCCCCCCACTGACCCACACACTGACCCACACACCACCCCCACCACCCCCACCCCCCCCCCACTGACCCCCGACCCCCACTGACCCCCACTGACCCACACACACCCCCACACACTGACATACACACACTGACCCACACACCCCCACCCCCCCCCCACTGACCCACACACCCACACCCCCCCCCCACTGACCCTCACACTGACCCACACACACACCCCCACACTGACACACACAATGACCCACACACACAGACACACACACACCCCCACACTGACCCACACACACACACACACCCACACTAACCCACACACACACACACCCCCACACTGACCCACACACACTGACCCACACACACCCCACCCCCCCCCACTGACCCACACACTGACCCACACACACACACACACACACACACACACACCCACACTGACCCACACACTGACCCACACACACCCCCACACTGACCCACACACACACTGACCCACACACACCCCCACACTGACCCACACACACACCCACACTAACCCACACACACACACCCCCACACACACCCCCACACTGACCCACACACACTGACCCACACTGACCCCCACACACCCCCACCCCCCCCCACTGACCCACACAGACCCACACTGACCCACACACACCCCCACACACTGACATACACACACACACCCCCACACTGACCCACACACACACTGACCCACACACACACACACACACTGACCCACACACTGACCCACACACACCCCCACACTGACTCCCCCACATACACCCCCACTGACCCCCACACTGACCCCCCCACACACACCCACACACACACTGACCCACACACACACAGACACCCCACACAGACCCCCCCCCACCCCCACAGCCACAGGGCCTCGGATGGGCCCCAATGTCACAGCCATCGCCGGGGGTTCACCGCCAGAGATCGGCGTCTGTGCAGATCAGGAAGTGGGACAGTGCCCCTCAGCCCCTCCCCACCCCCTCCCCACCCCCTGGTCCCTCAGCCCCTCCCCACCCCCTCCCCACCCCCTGGTCCCTCAGCCCCTCCCCACCCCCTGGTCCCTCAGCCCCTCCCCACCCCCTGGTCCCTCAGCCCCTCCCCACCCCCTCCCCACCCCCTGGTCCCTCAGCCCCTCCTCACCCCCTCCCCACCCCCTGGTCCCTCAGCCCCTCCCCACCCCCTCCCCACCCCCTGGTCCCTCAGCCCCTCCCCACCCCCTGGCCCCTCAGCCCCTCCCCACCCCCTGGCCCCTCAGCCCCTCCCCAAATTAAGCTTAAATCACTTACCTTCTCCATCTGAACCGTTTGCAGATCAATGATCCGGACGCAGAAATGTGGATTGTAAGTACCTTCTTCTGCTGAAACTTCCTGTTTCATCTGTTTAAATGTTCATTCACAGCCACAAGAGAAAACCTTTGCCATGAACTTTCCTCGAATCTTTCCCCCAAAACAGATCGCCTACTTAATCCCGGCTGGGTTGGCTTTCCTCGTTAGCGTGAACCCCTCCATCACAGGTAAGAAGCTCTGGGACATTTGTGGAGTCCTGTAGCTTAGTAGTCAGAGCACTCGCTCTGCAAGTGAGGGGACCCCGGTTTGACTCCTGGATGAGGCAAAACCTTAGCCAAGTTTCCTTACTTCACACAGTACCGGAGAGTCAAACTAGTCCATGACTATGTGGGCTTGAACCCACAGCCTTCTGACTGAACGGCGTGAGGGCTACCAACTTGGGGGTTGGGAGAGGGGTTGGGGCCGTGACATGGGGGTGGCACGCAATTCACTCAAGACCAGAAGAGAAAAAGTGATCGGACTTGATTCAGGTTTAATTCCGAATTGGTTCTGAAGTGGAGATGGCGAGGGTCAGTGCCTCCCGGTGAATTGATTCTCAGCTTCTTGTCACCTCTAACCTGTTGTGTCACCGCAGAGAACTTTATGTGGAAAAGTCTGTCGGAAATGCACCTGTTGATGTGCAGTGCAGTGGCCGTCCTGTGGGGTGGTCTCTATACCACAACGCCAAGAACAGCCTGTTCCATGAGGAGGAGGGAAGGTACGTAATCTTCCCGTAGCCACTGTCTACTTTCGGGATCACTGAAGTCTTTTTATGCTCCTTCCCGTCTCTACAACTCTGTACTTATCCTCCCCCTCCACTCCTGTTAACCCTGCAAGCCAAAGCCCTAACTAACGGGGAGGGTGGTCCAAGCTGGTCAAGCAGAGGGAGAGCTCTCAATGGCAAGCTATGTGGTTTTAGCTGGTTAGACTCCAGCAGTTACCACAATACGCACATCGGGTCCCCAAGCCTTGGATCTTGCCAACCTGCGCCTCATATTTTCTGGAATTTCCAGGGAGAGAGAGAGCACGTTCCATCCCAACAATCTGTCTCTGAGATCTCCACGTGTCGGTGGGCAGCACGGGATCCTCAGCTTGGTTTGGAGACTCTTAAGCAACAGTGATGGGTTTCCACATGTGTCACTGGCCCAAAAAAAAAATAGCCGCTCACTGGTCAGCCTCAGCGTTTCACTGAATAGCGATCCCTTTCTTTAATTGCTGTTTCGAAGTCAAACACAAGTTCCCATGTTCTTATGTCGCTGCCTGTCCTGTTTTACAGGGAGCTTTTGGGATTAGTCCTGATCGTTTTCTGGATCCTCCTTTGCCGACAGTCAGGGAAGTGAGTAAAACTAGTCCTTTTTCATACAGGGGTCGGGGGAAGAGGAGCAGAGGAGGGGGAGGAATGGGAAGGATTGAGATGGGATGTGAAAATGGGGATTGGCCAGGTGTCCTACATTCCTGACGTTACTGATTTACTCTGAACATTGATGTTGAATTGAAATGTACTTTCCCTCCAGACATCTCGGTGCTTTCAGAGTCTCGGTTGCAGTGTGTGTAACAGCTTTACCATTCCTAGCCTGGCTTTACTACTACATCAATAAAGATCTCCGAGCATCCTGGCCAAGCCACTGTAAAGGCACCATTTAGGATGATGGATGTGTGGACATTATTCAAAGGGTTCCCTAACCAGCCCGAGTCGCACTGATAAGAAGTGTGTTACTTTTAATCAAATATCTCACTGCTGTTCTCTTTTTGTTGTAATTGACAGCTGATAATCAGATTACCCCCATCCCTGGTGAACACTAAATTGAAATGTACTTTTTCTCCAGATATCTCGGTGCTTACAGTATCAGTTGCAGTGTCTGTAACACCTGTACCATTCCTAGTTTGGCTTTACTACTACATTACGTCAGTAATTTGTAACTGGATGTCAAATTTAAAGTGAAATGCACACATGATTTAGAGAAAGCCATTGTTAATTACATTTATCTGATAATAAATTGATTTATCAAAAATAGTATTGATGTAAAGTATAAAGGGGAGACAATTGAGCTTATATCATCAACCGTACTTTAATTTGAGAGGTTTTGTATTTAATTAGTTATTTACACATTTGATGTTACAATTTTAAGAATGACTCTGAATACTTGTGTTTTAATAAAGTGTTATATATTCGCTAAATGCAGTTTCAAGCCTACAAAAAACAGTCACTACACATTTACAGTAAAATCTGCTGAAGCGCTCTGAGACATCTTGATGAAATTCCTTTCGCCCAAGTGTCTGTACTGACACGTTTAGGTGATGGTTATTTGATCCCCAGCACACTGCTGAATTGACTCACTCAGACATTTGGTGGCTCAAATAGATTTTATTTCATGGGAATGGTTTTATGAAGTACTCCAATCAAGTAGTGTTATTTATAATAAATAAATGTATTTCAACAAAGTCCGCATGAAGCAACGGAAGCTTTTCAGCAATTAATTTACAGGCCGTGCCCCCATCGGAGGCTCTGAGACATTTTGATTCTCGCTTACACTGTGCTTCAATGCGTTGTAGTTTGTGCAAATATATAACAAGCTCCAAAGTATTGTTCCGTGCTCCAACGTGACATGTAATGTTCCAGTATATTGAACAATTCTCCAATGTGTTGACCCATCATGGTTCCTTCAGATCGCTTGTTAACGCAGTAGAGCAGTGACACTCCATCGTCTTTCCTACATCATGAAATAATGCCTGAGGCATCTGATCATCTTGCAAAAGCCATGAGAAAAGTGCTATTTCTGTCATCTTCTCCAAACCCTCAATATTCTAATAATAACCCTGGCATTTGATACGGCGCCTTATCACGTCTTTGAGACGTCTCAAAGCGCTTCACAGGATACACTGTAAAGTGAATTGCCTGTGTGTTTTGTGGGTGAAAAATATATAAATTGGTCATTTTCAATCCATAACCGTTTGTGTGGACGCTGCTGTGCATAATTGGCTGCCGAGTTTCGCCCACAAATATACAGTCAATTCACTTTACAGTTTATTCTGTGAAGCGCTTTGAGTATATCGAGAAGACATGAAAAGCGCTATATCAAATGCCAGGATTATTATTTATTATATTATAGACAATTCACTTTACAAGTGGAAGGCACTACTATTGGGGGAATGTCAATCAGCTCAACAAAACCTGGGAGTTTCTGAGCAGGAAAGGGCTCCGAGCTTCTCGATGTAGGTGCCTCAGGGAACTGTCTTACTGCCGTTGTGAGCTCAAGCCACCAACCCACACTTTCAGCTTTGTTGTAGCTGCTGACAAGAGCGGGAAGGTCACAAGGTGAGGTGTCAGCCATATTAGCTTAGGGCGTCCTCCTGACGTGAAAGGTGCTGAACAAATGTCATTTGTTGTTGTGTTAATGGAGAGAACAGGAAGCAATTATTTAGCAAACTGAGGCAACTGATTTCGAGATTTGGTTGGAAGGCGGCACACGGCAAACCACTAGGAACAGGAATAGGCCATTCAGCCCCTCGAGCCTGTTCTGCCATTCTATAAGATCACTGCACTGTCAAGTCTTGACAATAACAAAAGTGTTGACATGAATCAACCGTCCCCAGATTAATCTCCAGTCTTCCTGTAGTGCAGGATCCTGTTGGGAACCCTGCCTCTTCCTACTAGCACCATCCTGTCTTCGTGCGCGTAGATGGTACCAAATGCCTGGCTGTTCGGGGGGGTTTCGATCACCCCTTCAAACGTGAGGTGGTGTATCCCGTGCTCATCCAGGAAGTACCCTCCGTCGTGGTCGTGGCCCGATATAAAACAAACCACGCTCTGGTGCGCGTGCAGTACTGACAGTATCTTCTCATAGTTCCAGGCCACACAGATTGGATCTGTGGAGTTCGGGTGGACGGGAAGATGACCTGCATTAAAGATTGGGTAAGTTATTGTTTCAAATCATTCCGACATTGGAAATCCACGGTCTCAAGTTACACATCCCCTCGAATCCGCTTTCCTGAACCAGGTCACTGGGAGGAGTGGGTGAGGCCAGAATTCTGTTATGAAAAATGTTGTGCAATTGTATCCACCTAAAAAAAAATCAACACCAATTACCTCGTTAAACACACCAAAACTTACCGACCACCGTCACCTTTTCCTGGTTGTTATCAGAGAAAGTTAACACCTGGTTTAACCACTCCAGTTGCTCCCGACTGAATCCCCCGTTGAACTCCACAAAGTTCTGCTCCGCGAGGCCTGTTCAGGAAAGAGTTGGAGCTTTTACATTTCTTTGTAAATTCCACAAGGAATACAGTGTTAGGAAGGGAGGAAAAAGAGAGGGTTGCGGTATATTTCACCCACAAAGTATACGGGTCAACTCGCTCTACGGTGTATTGTGTGAAGCGCTTTGAGACGTCTCGAAGACGTGATAAGGATTATTATTATTATTATTATTATTATTGATGCACATTGCGTCCAGCCCGAGACAGAAACTCCAGGGATGTTTTTACACTGACACAAACAAGTTACCGATCGGGCTGTTGAGGTTTTCGTTTTTGTTCTTCTCCCTCAAGGTCTGAAGTGCCTCCTGGTGTTTCTTGCTGCCGTTCTGCCGTCCCAGGACACTGAGGTCGTACGTGTCGGTCAGGACGAAGCGGAACTTGGGGAAAGGGCTGAAGTGGTAACTGTAGAAGCCCTCGGGGTCGTTGGCCGCGGCCCCCGAGGTCGGGTCCTCTCCCAGGTGTTTGCTGTTGAGGGCGGACGTCAGCAGCTCGTTCCTGTCAAAGTTGTAGAACTCGTGGTTGCCCCAGACGTGGTGGACCGGGCACCGGCACCGTGTCAGCTCCGCCAGCACCGCCCGCAGCGCCCGGGCCGAGGTCTTTTGCCGGGAATTGCAGCCGTCGATGATGTCTCCGAGCTGCAGCACGAACACGGGCGGAGGGGCTTCCCGGTTCCAGTCGCGGATGGCGCTGCGCAGCAGGTCCAGGCTGCTCCGGTAGTAGCGCTGCCTCGTCCCCGTGTAGTTAAAGCCGTCCTCCGTGTCAGCGTATTGGACGTCCGCGATCACCCCGAAGCTGAAGAGGAGCTCTGTGCTCCGCTGCGCTCGGTCCGTCATTCTCCTCAGCGCCTCACACCCCACACGCACCATCTACACCAACACAGGGGCTGCAAATCACACGGCGACAGTCACCGGAGACAGAGACAGAGACAGAGAGAGAGAGACAGAGAGAGAGCGACAGAGAGAGAGAGACAGAGAGAGACACAGAGACAGAGAGACAGAGACAGAGAGAGAGAGACAGAGAGAGACACAGAGACAGAGAGACAGAGAGAGACACAGAGACAGAGACAGAGAGACACAGAGAGAGACACAGAGACAGAGACAGAGAGAGACACAGAGAGAGAGACAGAGAGACAGAGACACAGAGAGAGAGAGAGAGAGACAGAGAGAGAGAGACACAGAGAGAGAGACACAGAGAGAGACACAGAGACAGAGAGACAGAGACAGAGAGAGACACAGAGAGACACAGAGACAGAGAGAGAGAGACACAGAGAGAGAGACACAGAGAGACAGAGACACAGAGAGAGAGAGAGAGACAGAGAGACAGAGACAGAGAGAGACACAGAGAGAGAGACAGAGAGACAGAGACACAGAGAGAGAGAGAGAGAGACAGAGAGAGAGAGACACAGAGAGAGAGACACAGAGAGACACAGAGACAGAGAGAGAGAGACACAGAGAGAGAGACACAGAGAGACAGAGACAGAGAGAGAGAGAGAGAGAGACAGAGAGACAGAGACAAAGAGAGAGACACAGAGAGACACAGAGACAGAGAGAGAGAGACACAGAGAGAGAGACACAGAGAGAGAGACACAGAGAGAGAGAGACACGGTCGGAGCAGTTGCTCGGGTTGACATGTCCCCCCCCCGGGCCCCTCCCCCCCCGGGCCCCCCCCCCCCCCCCCGGGGCTCTCCCCCCACAGAGGGTCCCTCCGGCGCTGTATTCCGGACCCACGTGATCCCCAATGATGATAATCGGGTGTTGGACCCCAACGTCTGAGTCACGTGACTGTAGTGACTGTTTTGTGGGTGAAACGCAGATTGTGGACTTCAACAACAAATGACATTTACACAGTCTCTCACGTTGGGGGTCGGAGGGTGTGGGGGGGTCGGGGGGGTGTGGGGGGGTGTGGGGGGGTCGGGGGGTGTGGGGGGGTCGGGGGTGTGGGGGGGTCGGGGGGTGTGGGGGGGTCGGGGGTGTGGGGGGGTCGGGGGTGTGGGGGGGTCGGGGGTGTGGGGGGGTCGGGGGGCGGCCGAAGGCGCTGCATAGTGACAGCATTTCAGTATGTTTGTACCCCAAACCCCCCCCGGGCTCTCCCCCCCCCCCCGGGCTCTCCCCCCCCCCCGGGCTCTCCCCCCCCCCCCCGGGCTCTCCCCCCCCCCGGGCTCTCCCCCCCCCCCCGGGCTCTCCCCCCCCCCCGGGCTCTCCCCCCCCCCCGGGGCCCCCCTGTACCTGTCACTGTCACTGTCGCCGCCGCTGTTTCCGGGGGGAAGACAATCACCGCCGCACCTCAACCGCCACTTCCGGTGCCGACTCTTAAAGGTGCGCTGTGTGTGTTGGTGGCCGCGGGGCGGCGCTGTGTGTGTGTGTGTGTGTGTGGCCGCGGGGCGGCGCTGTGTGTGTGTGTGTGTGTGTGGCCGCGGGGCGGCGCTGTGGAGTTGGCGGCCACAGGGCGATGGCGGCGCTGGGCCTGGAGTTGGTGTCGGGGTCGCGGTTGGGCCTCGGGTTGGGGTTGGGGTTGGGGTCGGGGCGCGGGGTCCGGAGGGCGGTATTGGGGGTAAGTGCCGGAGCCGCAGTTACACTGATCACTGTCTGTTATTGATGGGGATTCACATCGGCGTCAATATCCACTGATTATTGGGTTCAATATCCATTGATTATTGGGTTTAATATCCACTGATTATTGGGTTTAATATCCATTGATTATTGGGTTTAATATCCACTGATTATTGGGTTTAATATCCATTGATTATTGGGTTTAATATCCATTGATTATTGGATTTAATATCCTTTGATTATTCGGTTTAATATCCATTGATTATTGGGTTTAATATCCATTGATTATTGGGTTTAATATCCATTGATTATTGGGTTTAATATCCACTGATTATTGGGTTTAATATCCATTGATTATTGGGTTTAATATCCATTGATTATTGGATTTAATATCCATTGATTATTGGGTTTAATATCCACTGATTATTCGGTTTAATATCCATTGATTATTGGGTTTAATATCCATTGATTATTGGGTTTAATATCCACTGATTATTGGGTTTAATATCCATTGATTATTGGGTTTAATATCCATTGATTATTGGATTTAATATCCATTGATTATTGGGTTTAATATCCACTGATTATTCGGTTTAATATCCATTGATTATTGGGTTTAATATCCATTGATTATTGGATTTAATATCCATTGATTATTGGGTTTAATATCCACTGATTATTCGGTTTAATATCCATTGATTATTGGGTTTAATATCCATTGATTATTGGGTTTAATATCCATTGATTATTGGATTTAATATCCACTGATTATTGGGTTTAATATCCATTGATTATTGGGTTTAATATCCACTGATTATTGGGTTTAATATCCATTGATTATTGGGTTTAATATCCATTGATTATTGGATTTAATATCCTTTGATTATTCGGTTTAATATCCATTGATTATTGGGTTTAATATCCATTGATTATTGGGTTTAATATCCATTGATTATTGGGTTCAATATCCGTTGATTATTGGGTTTAATATCCGTTGATTATTAGTAACAATCCGTGGTGGGGTTCCCCCCTATGAAGGTTAAGGTAGTAAGTGCACGAGGAGCCGACAGGAGTTGGGATCAAACCCGGAGCCGCCGCGGCCCCTCGGGAGGTCAGGCAGCATCTACGGAGAGAGTAAAGTGGGTCAACGTTTCGGGGTCCGCGACCCTTCGTCCAAAACGTTGACTCACTTTCCTCTCTCCGTAGATGCTGCCTGACCTCCTGAGTGTTCCCGGCCACTTCTGTGTGGGTTTTGTGGGATTAACTTGACCCTTGTGGGAGTGGGGGGGGGGGGGGTGGTGGTGGTGGTGGGGGGCGTGTGCTGTGCGTTGGGGGGTTCGGGGGGTGGACACTATAGCGCAGACCTGATGAGCTGTGACTGGTCTGAAGCGTTCTCGGCTTCTCTAACGTTGTCGTTTTTCTTATCGATCGTTCTGTCCCAGTTATTCGACGGCCGTCACACAAGACGGACGCCAACCTCCGGGGTCTTGTTCCGCGGCCTCAGCACCTGGTCTCCTCCCCCCCGCCCCCCCGACAGCGAGAACCCAAACACCGGCCACAGAACGACTGGGGTAAGCGGTTGGAACGTGGCACTGATGGTGACCCACAGGGGACCGGATCCGGGGGTCTCTCTGGTGGTAACTTCGTCCATGGAATTCCATGATGTAGGATTCCGTTAGCTCATGGCCGCCCCCCCCCCCCCCCCCCTCTATATCAGGATCCCCTCACTCCCAGTCCCTCAGTGGATCGACATCCAGGTCCTCGTTGTAATCTTCAAGCAGCTTTGCTCCACCGTATCTCAGTGATCTCCACTGTCTCACTCTCTCAGCTCTGCTTTGTGCTCCACACACTGTCAATGGTGGGTGAGCTTTCAGACACGTGGCCCCCCCCCCTCCCCACCCCCCACCTTCTGAAACTCTCTCCCCAGTTCCCTCTGCCTCGTCCCATCTAAAAACCTCCCCTTTGACTGTGCCCTCAGCCACTCCGCTCTCCTCCCTTTGACTGTGCCCTCAGCCACTCCGCTCTCCTCCCCACCCCCCCCCCCCCCCCGTTGGTTGTGTTCAGCCTCTCAGTCCAACTCGAAAGTGTTTGAGATTTTTTTTTCCGACCTGAAAGCAGCTATTTAGGTGCAAGTGGTTTGCTTTTCTTTTACTCTGTGTAAATGTTTTCCTCTGCCATTCCTGTTCCCGCTGTTTCTCAGTCAGGTTAATGATTTTGTATATTCCTACACACACAAAAAAAAGGCTCTCTTACTGCTCCCAAACAGTTGTCGGAATCATTTTGGTTTTATGCAAATGACTGGAAACTGCATTCTTGTGAAAGAGAAATCCTTATTTCATATTGAAACGTGCCTTAAAAGATATATATATATATATGGCTGTACAGAATATATGTTGATCTGTCTGTTGGAAGCAGTTTATAGACCACTTAACGCTAAGCTGTTGCACGTAATCTGAATGTGTTCCTCTTTGTTAGTAGCCTGTCACGTGGAAATCCTTAGCCATCACCTTTGCTGTCGGAGGAACCTTGCTGGGAACCATGAAGTATTTAAAGAGGGAGAAAGAGGACAGTGAGTGTCATTTGAAGGACAATTTTACTAGGATTTGTGCGGGCAGAATTGTCACACATAACTACACATTGAAGTATTATTTATTCCGCTCCAAGTTCGGGGCCTTTAATATAAACGTTCATTGAGCACGATCTGCGGTTACATCGCTGTGCGCAAAGACACAGTGACTGTACAGTATATTCTATGAAGCGCTTTGAGACGACCTCCTGACATGAAAGGCTTTATATCAAATGCAAGGATTATTTTAAATGATTATTATTAAGATTTCAAGTAGCTGATTGTTTGAAGTGCTGATAACAACAGCAACAACAAAAATTACATTTACAGAGCGGCTTTCACGTCGGGAGGCGCTGGACAGTCAGGGGTCAGGTCAGATAAGGTGCCAAATCGCGTGGAATTCTTCGTTTATTTCTTTTTTTTGATAAACGTCCTTAGAGATGGAGAAGGAGAGGACTCGGTCAGTTGGAAAGGCATCACTGGGGGGACCATTTTCACTTACTGATCACACGGGACAGAGCAAGACCAACAAAGACTATCTGGGACAGTGGATCCTGATTTATTTTGGCTTCACACACTGTCCCGATATCTGCCCCGAAGAACTGGAGAAAATGATTACAGTGGTGGACGAAATAGGTAAAACTTTTCACAAAATGGTGACCCTGTTTGCTGCCCAACCCACGTAGCAAGTGAAGGGTCAAGCGCAAGTGTCATTATGTTATATTGGCTCCCGTCTGCCTGCTCAGGTAGACATTAAAGATGTCATGGCGCTATTTGAAAAGAGAAGGGAGTTTCTCTCTCCCCGTGTCCTGACTAACAATCCTTCCCCAAATAAGATTGGTCATTTCTTTATGGCAACTGTTTGTGGCGCATTTGCTCTCATAGACTGTACATAAAAACATCTGTTCTTGCATGTGTTCAGGAAGTACAGAGTGAAGATACTTGTGAAATATCTGGGCTTTGTGCGGTGGCTAAATGTGACCAATCTATGCTGTGCTTCTTGTCCTCTTGATGTGAAAAGCGCTAAACAAATGCTTTACAAATGTAATTTGTTGTTGTTGTTGTAATTTGTTATTGCTTCCTATTGCAGACAAGATTCCCTCTTTGCCAAACCTGAGGCCTTTACTGATCACAATTGATCCAGAAAGGGATAATGTAGAGGCCATGGCCAGATATGTCAAAGGTGGGTTCATTGCTTAACCATCTTTATTTGTCCACACACAACTTCTCACGTTGTCAGAGCACCATCCATTGGATGAGAAGTTTTCTCTGATCTCATTTCCCAGGAGAAATACTGGTTAAATACTTTGCAGTTAAATACTTTGGCTGTTGCAAGGAGCCTTCAGGAGAAGAATAAATGTGGGCACAATGTACTAACATGTGACAATGCTTTATAAATGCAAGTTGCTGTTGATGTTGTTCCTTTACACTGTACCAACGGTGCTGTCAGGAAGGAGTTACTTTCCTTTTCTACGAGCGAGACCGAGAAGAGCAGGTTATTACATTACAAAATGTGTTGCGAGTTCTGTGTCTGCTACTAATGTTGTTAGTGGAATCATTTATAGATCAGTGATGGCTAGAGAGGCTAAACCTTCCCCAGTTTTATTGACTAATTGCCTCAAAAGGGATTCCATAGCGATGGCCAGAAAGAAACAAAGTGAAGTAGATGCAAACTCTATAATAATGGAATCCCAACTGGTCTCAAGAGTTGTGGGACATTACAGGATTTCCCCTTTCAGTCTCTTCTCTCTCCCTCCCCCTGATTGAAGGCATCGGCCGCTCCTGATATCGATCAAGAGGTTTGTCACCTGCCAATGTAATGTTGCTGCCTGGTGGTGATCTGAAGGGAAGCAGTCTGCTCTGCTCCGCTCTGCTCTGCTCCACTCAGTCCTTCTACCAGTGTTATTTCACCTGAAAAGTTTGATCGAGTGCATTGTGTGGACGACTCAGGTTTCTAAGTATTTAAAACAGCGGATTGTGTTCTTCTCCAGAGTTCTCTCCCAAGCTGGTTGGCTTGACTGGCTCACAGGAACAACTTGAACCAGTGACCCGGTCCTTCCGAGTCTACTACAGCCAGGGGCCTAAAGATGAAGACAACGATTACATTGTAAGGACTTGTTTTCACACAGCTGGTTGTCATCATTTCCCTATCTTACTTGCATTATATTGCTGCCCTCGCTGACTCCCCCCGGCTGATGATCAGCTACAGGCTAACTTCTGTATAACGTTTCGCCCACAAAATATACAGTCAGTTCACTTTACAGTAGATTCTGTGAAGCACTTTGAAGTTTTAACAATGTAATAAGGCACTGTATCAAATGAAAGGATCATTATTATTAACTACCCCTAGTTATTACGACTCCTCCAGTTACAACAAACTTGACATCGCGACCTATTTTTTTCCTATTGATTCTTAGCCAATAACAGCAATCGTTGAAGCAGTGCAGCCCCTGGTGTAAAAATCCTTTCCCCAAGTGTCCAGAGTGTTCGTTGTACCAAGGTCAGCCTGTAATTCAGACAGACCGTGATTTGAACCTGTAGCTTTCATGTCTCTATATGGCCATGTGCTGGACCGGGCAGTTGTTTTACCCGCTGTGTCATTGGAGAAGCTGATAATAATATCTTACTGTCCATGTTCTGTGTTTCAGGTTGATCATACGATAATCATGTATCTTGTTGGCCCTGATGGAGAATTTGTGGAATATTATGGTCAGAACAAGAAGAGCTCAGAAATCTCTGCTTCTATAGCTTCATACATGAGGACACACAAAAATAAATAAAACATATTCTCTCTTTTTTAATGAAAATAGATGAAAATCAAGTTGAACATTCCCGAGAAATAATATATTTGCAATGATTGTGTTCAGTTAGAAGCTAATGTTCTTTGACTAAGGGCACACTTTCATGTTTGAGCGATGAAGTACATTGACTAAAACTAGTGCTAATGAAATGTCTCATTGTCTGAGGAATACACTGACAACATCAATTATGAGTTGAACTCAACAACAACAACAAAATGACGTGTAAAGTACCTTTCAGGGTGGGAGGACGTCCCAAGGCGCTGGACAGTCAGTGTTTCGGACCCGAGCTGGGGATCGGGATTGGGGAGGGTGGAGAGTTGGGGGGAGGGAGGGTGATCAAAAGCACGGTCGAAGAGGAGCCTGGTCCGGGAGAGGGCACGGGCTGCAGAGTTTTGGATGATCTGCAGCCTATGTAGGGAGGAGTTGGAGAGGCTGACGGGCAGGGAGTTTCATAGTCCAGCCTCGATGTTATGTATGAACTCAGTACAAATCAGGAAAAAAAAACTTGTCAAATTGGACGAGATCGTTCCCAATATATAATTAGATATACGTATGGGCTGTAGCTCAGTGCAGAAATAATAGCTTGCACCTATAACTTTCTAAATTGTCCAGACTGTTGTTACCCATTGAATGAGTGCAATGTGTTGGCTATCCCCAGATTACGAGTTGCCGTATATTTTTGGTGGTTTAGGTGGTAGTTCAGTGTATTGGTTGCTTGAAGTCCTATGAAATGAAGAGAATGGTGCAGTATGAATGTGCATCACGGTGTATACGATTTTCAGATGTAAATGTTTGGTTCCGTTTTGAACCGTAGGATTAAGTGCTGCCGTGTTTGCTTTAGCATGTTTTAGTTACAGTGCCTTTGAACATTGTGTGTGTGCCTTTGTTGACGGATATTAAACCACAGATTCTTTACATCGTTTGCTTACAATGAAACTTCTCACAGTGATCCTTTTTATTTTATTACTGTAACTTATTTTGAAGTGTGTCTTTTTCCTAAGTCAATACAAACATCATTTTGAAGTTGAGTTGAAAATTGACTCTCGTTATTCGAATCTAACTGTGCAATACAAAGGTGCTTTGTTTATTCAGTTCGCAGCTCGATCCTTTAATGCAAAAAAATAGTCAGTCTGAGTGGTGACTCAAGATACTTTCATACAGTTGTCTCTCTTCCAGTCCTGTTATCTCTGTGTGTGTGTGTGTGTGTGTGTACTGTGAGATCATCACTGATCTTGTGTGTGAGATCTGTGCTATTTTTGTTCCCATTTGGAGACACTTCGATCTCCATGCCAGTCGACTTCAGTCCACTATTTGGGGTAGGGCTCTAGTCTCAGTGTGTCCTTTCTTCAGAAGAGACATTGAAAGCCGATTCCTGTCTGGATATTAAATAAACTGCTATTATTTGAAAAGCCAAGGTCTTTCTCCTGGTATCCTGACCAACAATCTCCCAGATAAATTGGTCATTAACTTCTCAATGTTGTGGTATATTGCTGTTGCAAATTGGCTGCCACGTTTGCCTTCAAATATACTGTCATGCTTTACAGTAATCTCTGTGAAGATGTTTTGACACTATATGGACTGTATCAAACAGAAATATGAATACAGTAATGTTTCTGTATGTCAGGTGAGCATTATAAGTGATGCTGCGTCAGGTTGTCACAGTTGTATAGCAAATGCTGATCTTATTTTCAGAATTCCTAGTTTATTGAGCTGGACTGTGTTAATAGCACTGTCACCTCTGGGTGCAAAGCTTTGGGTTCAGACTCCCCATCTGAGCTCAGTCTAAGCTACTGTCCAGTGCAGTCATCATTGAGCAGTTGTTGGCTGGAAATCCTCCCAAGAAGTCCATGGAATGGGACAGCAATTTGGGTATAAATGCCATGCAAGTTAAGAAAGACTTTTGGCAGCTCTATTATCTCCCAAGCATTTACTCGCCTCAGATCAGTTTTCTCTAATACTATAAATAAGCAATGCTTCTGGAATATTCCTGAAAGCTGCTTTTGCATTTATCATCTGAATTGGAGGAGTATATATGCATTCTGTTTGATAAGAACACAGTACCACTCCATTCTTTTCTGCAGATTTGGTGTCTTTCTTCAGATAGGATTATTGAAGCATAAAACACAATCTTATCATTGCAACAAATATATATGTTTGAGTATCAGCATTACACGTCTCCGGTTAGTTATTTAGTTAAAAATACATTCGTCTTGCATTTGAAAAGCTATCCAAGAATGATAAAGGAACTTCAGGATCTTGTTTCTAAAATTAGTCCTTTTAATAAGTAAAGGCTTATTTTAGTTTTTCTGTTTGAACACCACCTGCTAGTTTTAAGTTGATCTGCCCCCAAAATATAATATAATCCTTGCATTTGATTTGGTGTCTTACCACATTGTCGACACATCCCGAAGTTCTTCGCAGGCTTTTAGTGTGAAATGTCATGACTCTGTTTTTGTAGGTGAAAATTATAATAATAATAATACTGTTCTTTATCTCTATAGATGAAAACGCACACACTGTTCACCAGACAGCCAATACACACTATCATTATGAACTTAAGTCCTTTCAATTGCGGTCAATTGTAGAGCCTTCCACTATTAAAATCAATCTACGGCTGTTTGTGGGGACATTGCTGTGTGCAATTGGCCGCCGCGTTTCGCCCACAAATGTACAGTCAATTCACTTTACAGTATATTCTGTGAAGTGCTTTGATACGTCGAGAAGACATGAAAAGCGCTATATCAAATGCAAGGATTATTATTATAACTACACAGATAAACCTGGGTCTTCCTCGATTGCAATTTTCAGATTATAAATGCTAACCTGCCCTATAATTCACAACTGGCGCGAAAATTGTTTGTGCAAATAAATGTTAAATATAACCTGTGAAAATTACCCTAAAACACAGTTTTTATTATCTTTTTAATAAACAAGAACATGTACAAAGATAACAATATGAATGATTTATCCTGTAATTCTATGCAAGTAGACTGGCTTGTAAACGCTTAGCACTTTCACACAATTTCACACAATCCAGGACAGTTTGTGGGACACTGCTGTACGCAATTGGCTGCCGCGTTTCGTCCACAAAAATACATAGTCAATCCACTTTACAGTATATTCTGTGATGCGCTTTTGAAACATATCAAATGCAAGGCTTATTATTACTTACAGCAATTTACTTGGAATTATAGACTTTACAGAGGAGGAGGCCATTCAGCCCATTGAGGCAGCACCAGCTCTCAGAGCAAAGTGTTCATTCAATCCCAATGACTCGCCTTATCCCCATAGCCCTTCAAACCTCGGTCTTGTGAAAGTGACTGAATTTAAAAGGATTATAGAAGGAAAGTGTTACAGTGGCCAATATATCACTATGGCTATAATTGAAGCATGAATGTGTTTGCCATCTGACCGACCGATCGTGTCGGGTCTAAATACCATCCATGTCCCCAGCAATAAGTCGTCTATTTATAAAATCATCTTAAAACAGCTACAAAAATAAATTGGATGATCTGTTTGAAAGCGATATCAAACCAGAATGTTATCTTATATTGGCTTTCAGGAGAGACTGCAGCACAACAGCCTGTGAAAAGGTCACTTTGATTTTTACTATCACCTTAGGTTATAGTAGGAATAACTACAGTGAATTCAAGGCTACATTGAATGAATCTGATATTTTTCTAGCTGCTGAACTTTAAATGTTTGTTTTACTTGTATTTCGCCCACACAATACACAGTCACTCCACTTTACGGTATATTCTGTGAAGCGCTTTAAGATGTCTCGCAGACGTGACAAGGCGCTAAATCAAATGCAAGGATTATTATTATTATTATCTATCTCCATACCTATCTTTACCCCTTTCATTTCAGTTGTTGAGGAGACTAGAGACCAGAATATCAGCTGTCCATCTTCCTGTTCAGGCTTTTTACCCCATGGGTCCCTCTGGCATTAATATACTCATGTCGAGGATGTCTTGACTCTCAATAGAATGCAATTACATGATTGTTCTGATATCCATTTGCAAGATATCTATTCAGAAAATGTACTAATATTACTTAATGAGAGCTGTAACACACATTACCATTCTTACGAATTACACAAGGGAATATCATTATTCAGGGCACGGTGTTCAGACATAAGAGTAAGCCCCATTTTCTGAGTGTTTTTTTTAAAGCGTAACTACGATTTATGTAGTACCATATGCCATGTGTGAGCGATCTTACGGTCCAGGTTGTCGCGCCAGGCAGTACTGGGGAGAGATGCATTGTCAGAGGTGCCGTCGTTCGGATGAAAAGCTAAACCAAGATCTGCCTCTTGAGGTGGATGTTAAAAATCTAAGGGCACAATTTGAAAAGAGAAGTTTCTCTTGGCCAACAATCCTCCAGGTAAAATTAGTAATTTACCTAATGCCTGTTAGTGTGGGATGTTGCTGAAGCATTTGCTCACAAATAGCATCATTGCAATTGATAGCATATGACCCGTGAAGCACTTTGGTAAATCCCAGCGCCCTGGGACGCTATCCTGCATGAGCAGCGCTATATAAATGCAAGTTGTTATTTTGATTTTCTGGGCACTATATCAAATGAAAAATGAAAATTATTATTATATTGTATTATAATCTGGAACCTTCTGTATACCTAATGCTCGTTGGATTTTCCCCTCCCAATAAAACTGACCTAATTTCTCTTTATAATTCCGGCAGGTTCCATGAGTATTGAAGAAATGGCACTTTATGACTCTTGTGTTAAAATTCATGAACGGGTGTAATCACCACCCAAATGTGACAATGTCCAGACTGCCATTTCTTCGGTGGTAAATTCACAATAAGAGGCGGCTATAAACCAAATGTTATTTCCATGTTTGTCTATGAGAGGGAGCGATTCACCACATGGTATTAGTGTTTATAATAAAGTCTAGTTTTACTGTAGTATTTTCACAATTCCTTTCTCTACTAATATGTGGTTAACAACTTCTTTTACTCCATTTGTGTTTTGCAATGTGATGGGAGCCTTAGCTGTGCATGTCTTCAAGTAACATGAAGGTGTCAAGAGACAGTTTAAGGACACACCTGTCACAGTGATAAACTTAATAGCCAGACAGGAAGGTACCCTAAAATAATCTACCAATGTAACCAAATGCTTTCCTTATAAGTACATACTAAAAGACCTGCTCAGCTATTTAACTTACTAAATATGACCTCTTCGCATGACTCTTCTATATTTGATGGAGAGGAATAAAAGTAATTAAACAAGGTGCTCAAATGTTACTTCAAATGTCACTGATAAAGATATGAAACCAGATTTAACCATCCTTACATAATAGTGTTAACATTTGTTCAGACCCCAGTCTACATAGAATATAATGCTTAAATGATAGGAAATACATAGTAAGCATAAAAGAACCATTTCTCATCATTCTAAAGAGCATTTTATCGGCATCGGTGGCAAACTGGAAAGGAAAAAAAGTGATATTGAGCAATAAAATGCTGATAGGTGTCACTGAACATTTTGATTCAATGGAAAATCACTTTAGTGTCCCTGGTTGGCAACAGCTGTGAGCTGAATTACTCCTCCAGTTGACAAATTCATCAGCAGATCTTATGACACTGTACTGACACTGCAAATGATCTGCAGCAATTTTCAGATGTAAACTGACCACTGAAACATAACCCAAAGGAATACCGATGACTTAAGGAAAATGCAAGAAAGTTAAAGATAAATCACCGGTTCATTTGCTATACGAATAGAATCAGACTTTACGTTTACAACGTATTGTTAATTTTAAATGTAAATTGAAAAACGTATGTAAATGGAGAGAAGATCTCCCTGAAAACCTTAATTTACGTGACCTTCACCCGATGCTGCCAACAGCTCTGAGCTCCTTGTGGCTTTGCAGCAAGTGGGACAGATCAAAGCCATTTTATTGAGTGCAGCAGTAGCACTTATTGGCAACTCTTGAGTTTCGCTGCCTGCCATCCCAGGGACGTTTGATAGGTGTGAATCCTGAGCTGGGAAGAATATGGGTTATTATGGAGATTGTTACAACGTTGGTTTTATTCCTGCAATAGCAGTTCCCTGTAAACCAGGGTTGTCCAACCAGCAGCTCACAGGCCGCTTCCAGCCACGGGATGAGGTGGGGGTTAGAGGCAGATCCTGTGAATCACTTTCAAACCAGTAACAGGAGATAGATACACAGACAGACACAGACAGAGGGGTACAGAGACCGACCGACCGACCGAGAGACAGAAAGAGAAAGATTCAGAGACACATAGACACAGAGCGAGAGAGACAGAGACACACACCTCGCCGCGAGCTGTTTTATTGTTTTCAAATGTGTATGAAGTTTTGCACTGCTTATCTAAAGTTTGCCAAGTGACTAAAGTATATAAATTAAATAGACTATTTAAAACAAGGAATTTCTATATGATGCTTACGGGTATCAGTTCACTCATCGCTCACCCTAAATTCAGCAACAGGAACCCTAAACAAGAAAGCAGTCAAGTCACAACTAAAGTATTGAATACTGTTCTGGTCACTCCTACATAAAAGGTCCCCATAGACCCCTATAGCTATAGTTATCAGAACATGCCACCATCTAAAGCTTTCATTGCATGTATTTCCATAATAAGGTGTGCAATCTTCTGTGACTTCAATTCCCACATTAAGACTCAAGTTGGAGGTGCCATCTTTCATCAGATGAACATTAAAGATCTCAAGATATGCATTCACAATAAAAGGGATTTTCTCCCGATGCCCTGCTCAAGATTTCCAGATAATAATCATTTATCTCATGGTTTTAGAGGAAACTTCCTGCAGCAAATAGCTACAATACAAAGATTATTCTTGTAGAGGATTTTGCGACATTTTGATGTATAAAGCACTGTGAAAATAAAAGTTCTTTAATTTTTTCTCTAGCAGAATTCAAGCACTATTAAAATAAAGATTTGCAGCCCATTTTCCCCTTGACTAATTTTTTTTTGCCATCATTAAAATGTTTGTGAGCAACATCACAGACCCATTTTATTCTCAAAGGCGGCCATTCACAGGCTCTGCGATCCCTTCCCAAGCAACTGCTTCCTTGAGATTGGATTCAGTTAATTGTCATTCTTTTGTAAGCCTCACTGACAGTGAGGTTCGCAGGTATCTCGATTTGGTCAGTCGTACAGTTCACATAAAAAAATGTAAATGCGAACCAAAGGTCCAGCAGAACAGATAACTAGGAGCTAGTTGCAATTTGCTGTTGCAATTCCCAACCACATTGATCAAGAATCTAAATACAACTAAACTTTATGACACATTAAATGTACACAAACACATCTGGTTGGTCTTATCGCTGCCGATCGCCGAACATTGAAATTGATGTGATGGTTTGAGATAACGCTGCCTTTTCCTCGATTACTATGATCTGCATCTTTGACTGATTACAATCAACATCAGAACCAGTGCAAAAGTATGCACTTGATGGCCACGGTTATCAGCTGGTAAAAGCAATCAAAATGTTGAAAACCAACAGGAATTGTCAAGGCAGACTTGTGAGAAATACAGTTTAACACTGACATCCATAAAGTATTAGGGCGTGGAATGCATTTGGGATGTGCCCAGTGTCTCCTATAAAATGATGTTCAAAGACAACAGCTCTGTACAAACATCAAAGTCAGATACACTGACTCCAAAATAAATTGTGATTCACGTTTTGTGACTGCAGCCAAATTATATCAACAGTGACCTGCCCAATAAAAGCTTCTAAAACACTTACACATTTCTATCGGAATGCTGAAAGGTTTGATGAAGGGTTTGCCGCTGGAATGAAGGCCAATACTTGGCAGTCGGAGTAATTCTTGGCTTACTTAAAATTAAATAATTCAGATGTTTGATAGGCTGATAAAACATTTCTAATTATATCATGATCGTAAAAACTATATCTCTTCCTTCTGCTGAAGCATAGTAACCAATTACGGACCAAAGACTTTTAATTGCTGGGAAATCAAACAATATAAAAACGACCCTCCTAGTTGTGCTCTCTCATCTTGGATTGAACTTCAATGTGAGCACTGAGTAAACCTTTAGGACTATAGGGAGTGAGCCATTGTGGTCATTGTTATTTTTGTATATTATTCGTCTATAACTTTTATAACCGCTATAACGTTTATACCTTTTATGAAGCTTCTCGGCTGCGGTTTAACAATAATCATTTAATTCATTTTTAAGTACATCTGTAGAAATTTCACAATATGAGAGCACAATAGAAGACATTCCATGTGTTTAATTTCTACAATTAATGAGTATTACTTTCATGTATTTCATTGATTTTTATTTTATTTTAGCAGCTGTGAAACGACTATCCTCGGCTTCCAGCCTTGTTGGTGTAAGAGCAGGTAAGGGCATATTCTAATGACCTCGCTATCGCTCAGGATGTATATCGTATGGTGGTTTCCAGCCTGGGGCAAGGATTGCAATTTCTCCTGGGTGTTTGCCACGTTTATAGCCATCACGCTCAGCCTATACTATCAGGACAACTGAGCCCCCTCCACCTCTGGGGCTAGTAGTTCCCAACACGCGGGCACAATCCTATGAAACAGCTGCTTTCATCAATACTTATCCATTGATGATTCCAGATTTGCTATTACTCCCCAAATAAGTTTATGTTTCTGCCAGAATCTCAGCAAATCTGCTCTCAGGTACTGACCTGAAACCACTACCCTCTCACTCAATAAAAACTCAATGGTGATCTCGTGTTCCAATTCCAATTCCAACCCAATACATTTGGAGAGTGGACAGGTTGAGGGAAATTTGGAAGATTTCTTCCCCCGGCAATATTTTCGATGGTGGGGAAGTTTGTTTTTTAAAGAAAAGGTAGTAAAACAAAGACAAACAGCAACAAACATATGCCAATCTGGAAGATAAAACTAAAGAAAGGAAGAACATCAAACAAATTAAATCAAAAGACAAACAATAAATAAATAATCCTAAACGCAATATTGATTTCAACAATTTCAGACCATAACAGCTCGTCCCCCACCCCCTCCTTCCCTCCTCTGTGACCATTACCACATCATCTGGTCTCAGACACACCTTTTCTCCCTCTGGTCTGACTGTTTTGTTGCATTTCCCCCCACTTTGTTTTGCATCATTGACACCTCTTTAACCCATCATCCCCTGTCCTCTACCCCATTTTCTCCTTTGTCTTCCTTGCCCTGACTCCCCCCTCTCTGTTAGCCCTTAAAAGCCTCTCCCTCCCAACGTGCCCCAGTTCTGACCAAGAGTTGTGGACCCGAAACGTTGACTCACTTTCCTTTCTCCATAGATGCTGCCTGACCTGCTGAGTGCTCCCAGCGACTTCCGCTTTTGAATTAAATAATCCTGTCTCATCGAAATTTAAGAGAAAAACTGCTTGTGTTTTGCAGTAAATCGTAGCCATGAGCAGCGACGCAGAAATGGCGATTTTTGGCCCAGCCGCCCCATTCTTAAGGAAATCAGAGAAGGAACGAATTGAAGCACAGAACCGACCTTTTGATGCTAAAAACTCCTGCTTCTGTCATGATCCCAAGGAAATGTTTGTTAAAGCTACAATCAAGAGCAGAGAGAGTGGCAAAGTCAACGTGGATACGATAGGTGGGAAGGTTCGTAAGTAATAAACATAAAACAATAGCATTTCCAATTTTAATAGAGCTACTTTAACTTCAGTGCTTTATCATTCTTTTGTATGAATCATATACTTTTTATTGCAGAGTGTAACGGTTAAAGATGATCAAATCTTCCCAATTAATCCTCCAAAATATGATAAAATTGAAGACATGGCCATGATGACTCACCTGAACGAAGCATCTGTGCTGTATAACCTCAAAGAGCGTTACTCAGCCTGGATGATCTATGTAAGTATGTGATTTCTGAGACAGATTTGCAAACATGATATGATTAATCTGTGTTATTCATGACGAATTAACTCATTTAATCTGTGCTCACAACTAGACCTACTCTGGGCTCTTCTGTGTCACCGTGAATCCCTACAAGTGGTTGCCAGTGTACAACCCCGAGGTAGTGAATGGTTACAGAGGAAAGAAACGTCAGGAAGCTCCTCCACATATCTTCTCCATCTCTGACAACGCCTATCAGTTCATGTTAACTGGTACACTTTACAACCCATTTATACATAGTTAAATTTAATGAATAATATCAATGAGCTGAGATTATAATCAATTGATCAATTGGTTTCTATATCAATACAACTATTGCACTAAACTGTTGTTTTCTTTATTTAACAGACCGTGAAAATCAGTCCATCCTGATCACGTAAGATTTCATATTTTGCAGAATATTTTGGGGACAATTTTACCTTCAGTTAGACTTTTTTAAATACTTTTTTTTTAAAACAAATCCTTTCTAGCGGAGAATCTGGTGCGGGGAAGACTGTGAACACCAAACGTGTCATCCAGTACTTTGCATCAATTGCAGTGACTGGCGACGCAAAGAAAAAAGAGGCGGCATCTGGAAAGATGAAGGTGAGAAAATGCAGGTAGATTTAAATTATTTGCCTTAATAATTAGAGGAAAGTACTTTTCTTATTAATAGCTTGAAATTTACCTGTTTAGGGAACGCTGGAAGATCAAATCATCCAGGCTAACCCATTGCTGGAAGCCTTTGGTAATGCCAAGACTGTGAGAAATGACAACTCGTCTCGCTTTGTAAGTATCTAAAAGTCTCAACATTTCTGGTTACTTCATCTTCAATATGTTTAATACAGTTAAGGTAATCATAATCAAACAAATCTTCTCCCGTACTGTGCATTATAAACTGAGAGTTAAATATATTTTCTTCATCTCTAAGGGCAAATTCATCAGAATTCATTTTGGAACCACAGGAAAACTGTCTTCCGCTGATATTGAAACCTGTAAGTTTATTTATGGAATTCTGTTCATTATTATTGTTAATTACACTGCCAATCTAACTTATTTTGTAAAAAAAATCATCAATGTAATTAACAGATCTGCTGGAAAAGTCCAGAGTAACTTTCCAGCTGAAAGCTGAACGAAGCTACCACATTTTCTATCAAATTATGTCCAACAAGAGGCCAGAACTTATAGGTAAGCAACTCTACTTCTCATGCTACATGTTTCATTCAATTCAATGTGTTTTTGCAAATTCTTCAGTCATTTATTATCTCCAAAACAGTAATTCAAGGAGCTAAATGGATCTCTAAGTTTTTAATTTTTTTTAATGGCGATCACTGCACAGTGTACGTGAACATACTTTTTACTTTCCTTAAAATCTGGGTAAGATCATAACTCTGCAATTAGGATTTATAATTACCTTGACTATTCCATTGTGTATTTGTGTAGGACTACAGTGGCTTACATTGGATCTTTCTAGAAAATGCTGAGGTTAAGTCTTCCAACCATTTCTCTAGTTACAAATGTCTTTGTTAACCTACATTTTATTGCAGAAAGCTGTTTCAACTACCAAACTAAATATTCTCAAGATGTATGTTACGAAAAGGAAAATTATTTGGAGCTCAGTGACAAACAATATTTCACACCTTTCTTTTCTATTTTAGATATGCTACTGATTACAACCAACCCTTATGACTTTCCGTTCGTTAGTCAGGGAGAAATTACTGTTACCAGTATTGATGATCAAGAAGAACTGATGGCTACTGATGTAAGTCTCATTTATATTCCAAACTACTGAATTACCTTTTCTAGTGATTCTCAATGCGACACTATTCAATTCTGCAGGAAGCCATTGATGTTCTGGGTTTCACTAGCGATGAGAAAGTGGGTATCTATAAACTCACTGGTGCAGTAATGCACAAAGGCAACCTGAAGTTCAAGCAGAAACAACGCGAGGAGCAAGCTGAGCCTGATGGAACTGAAGGTACTCTCATAACATGCTTATTGCAATACTTTGTCAATTTATTTTTGATCAGCCGGGTGTCTAATACATGACAGAACCCATCTGCACGCTTAAGAGTATCCAACTAGTTTAGGAAATTCCACATACGAATGCCACTGATGCATACAAATTTTCCTGCATGTGTAATGGAATGTGCATTCTCTCTCTCTCTCTCTTCCTGAAAAGTGCGATATGAAACGTATACATTTTGCATAAATATTCAGTAGTGGTCTAGATATAACAACATCGAGTACACAATATGCATACTCAGTGTAATTTAGCACCTGAAACTTTTTCACTAGGAATCCAAGACGACACCAAATGGATTAATAAGACCCTGACTCTGTAACAATACAAGTAGTGACCAATCTTGCTATTTGCTGACAAATATAAATGTTTTTCGTTTCAGTTGCTGACAAGTGTGCTTATCTGTTGGGCCTGAACTCAGCAGATTTGCTCAAAGCTTTGTGCTATCCAAGGGTAAAAGTTGGCAATGAGTTTGTGACCAAAGGTCAGACCGTCCAGCAGGTACTGTACAATGACGTATAGTATAGTTTTTTTTTGGTTGAAAATATATATTTATTTACAAATATAATATTTGGTGAAACAGAAATCCAAAACAATCACAATGTACACATCTTCTGTTACATTTTTCCCTTTCCCCCGTGACAAAAATATTCTGTTGTCTACGGGACATATAGTATAATATGGACTAACAGTAATATGCTTTTTGCAATCTTGTTGTTGTTGTTAGTAGAAATTAAACCGGCAATCACTCTTCACAGCACATACTGTTTGTTTCTTTTTCTTTAAGGTGACTAACTCAGTGGGAGCATTAGGTAAATCAATTTATGAGAAAATGTTCTTGTGGATGGTCATTCGTATCAACCAGCAACTGGACACAAAGCAGCCAAGGCAGCACTTCATTGGAGTTCTGGATATTGCTGGCTTTGAAATTTTTGATGTAAGTTTTGAACAGTTAATGTTTTCTAAGAAAACAATGTTATCCAATGCATCTCAGTTTAATATAGATTTTCTGTATCCCAGTACAACAGCTTGGAACAATTATGCATTAACTTCACCAATGAGAAACTGCAACAGTTCTTCAACCATCACATGTTTGTTCTGGAGCAAGAGGAATACAAGAAGGAAGGGATTGAGTGGGAATTCATTGACTTTGGGATGGATCTGGCTGCCTGCATTGAGCTTATTGAAAAAGTGAGTAAAACAAAATTAAATCAGTCACCAATATGATGTATTGTGTAAATGGATTATGTCAAGGATCATCACAGTATAATAACATAAGCTCTGTGTTAAAAGCCCTTGGGTATCTTCTCCATCCTGGAAGAGGAATGTATGTTCCCGAAAGCCTCAGACGTATCCTTCAAGAACAAGCTGTATGACCAGCATCTTGGCAAATCAAACAACTTCCTAAAGCCCAAGCCTGTCAAAGGAAAGCCTGAAGCTCACTTCTCCCTGGGTCATTATGCCGGCACTGTGGACTACAACATCACTGGTTGGTTGGAGAAAAACAAGGACCCACTGAATGAAACTGTAATTGGGCTGTACCAGAAATCTTCAATGAAGATATTGGCCAGTCTCTATAGCACTTTTGGTGCTGCTGAAGGTAATGTATGTTTGTTATTTCCAAAACACTCTTTCAAGGTTAATATGTATATTTACTCCCACAAAGCTGGAACTATGTACCTAAAGATATATTTTTTCATTTTATTGTTTTAAGAGGGTGGAGCCAAGAAAGGTGGCAAGAAGAAAGGATCTTCTTTCCAAACTGTCTCTGCACTCTTTAGGGTATGCATTTTACAATCTAGAAGTGTCTTGCACAGAACTGAAATATTTTAGATATTTCCAATGGTTTACATTATAAAATTTAAATTCAAAGAAAACCGAAATCCATACTAACAAGAATAATAAGAATTTGACTTTTAATCAATATTTTCCCTTTTTTCCATAAACATTATACACAGGAAAACCTGAACAAGCTGATGACCAATCTGAGAACCACTCATCCACATTTTGTGCGTTGTTTAATTCCAAATGAAACAAAAACTCCAGGTAATCATTTGCTGCTGCTTTGTTCAACATTGGACAAAATATTCTGCTGTTTAAAGCATTGCTTATAAGTAAATATTTTCTTTTTAGGTGAGATGGATCACCACCTTGTTATTCACCAACTGAGGTGTAATGGTGTGCTTGAAGGTATTAGAATTTGCAGAAAGGGATTCCCGAGCAGAGTCTTGTATGCTGACTTCAAACAAAGGTAAACACTTTGCTTGGATATTAATTGGTAGGATTTTAGGTCACTTTTTTGCTGTATTCCTTTCAATAGGTTTATTGTCTAAATTTAAATAATGCTATTAGACTCTTCATTAAAATACATCCAACTTATTTCATAGATATAAAATTTTGAATCCAAATGCTATCCCAGAAGGCCAATTCATAGACAGCAAGAAGGCATCTGAGAAGCTGCTCGGTTCGATTGATGTTGATCATACACAGTATAAGTTTGGGCATACTAAGGTAAGGGTTTAAATCTTTAATGTGTTATGTAATATTAAGCAATTTTTCATCAGATATCTGCCGAAATTATCCATTATTTTATGCAGGTGTTCTTCAAAGCTGGTCTCTTGGGTACACTTGAAGAGATGAGAGATGATCGACTGGCTTTAATCATTACCCGTATACAAGCCAGGTGTTGTGGATTTTTAATGAGAGTAGAATTTCAGAGGATGATGGAAAGAAGGTACAACAGAATATCCGCATGCTTCGAGCAATTTTAATTAGAATGCTGTACCAATAAAATATTTTTCACTAATGTCATTGATTGGATTGTTCAGGGAGTCTATCTTCACCATCCAGTACAATGTCCGTTCATTCATGAATGTCAAACATTGGCCATGGATGTTACTGTACTTCAAGATCAAACCTCTGTTGAAGAGTGCAGAAACTGAAAAAGAAATGGCAAATATGAAAGAAGAATTTCAAAAGATGAAGGAAGCACTTGCTAAATCTGAAGCACAAAGGAAGCAATTGGAGGAAAAAATGGTCAGCTTGCTTCAAGAGAAAAATGACCTTCAACTTCAAGTACAATCAGTACGTACCACAAACAATGTGTTCATTTATTATTATTATTTATATTCTATTTTATTATGGTTGTGATACAATGACAAATGCACTCAGTAGAATTGTATGTCAGATGCTCTTAAATATTTCAACTTATTTTTATTCAAGTTTTTAAAGACTGAAGATGATACTCAGCCGCAAACCAAAATGCTTTCATCATTCCCTCAAGTGGTTTCATTATATTGTCAAAAATACATAAATTCTGTATCACCACAAAATTGCACAGATTCTATGCCAGCACCCCTATTATCATTGGCCAAGGGGCCAAAATTATTGTTATACGTCAATTATATTACAAAGAAAGATAAAATGATCATTGCACAGACATATGTAAACATTTATATTGGTCCTGTGCTTCTACTGCAGTGTTGTAAGTTTGTTGTGTTAGATTTAAGACCCATATGATTCACGGGATCAGCAACAATTTTATAATAGTTTAGTTTAGGAAACAAATATTTTGGGTAATGTGCAGACCACAGATCAATAAAATGGACATGATATGATTTAAGAGCACACAGCAAACTTATGTCAACTCTGAACAGTATCAAACTCATCGACCTAGTGAGCAAATAATATGCCCTTAACATCTGGAACCCCCTCAACCCCTTCTTTCCACTCAACATCCACCTGACCATTGCACTCTGAGACCTTCGATGTGAAGGACATGATATAATGCTAATTGTTGTCGTTTTAGTAACAAAATCACTCACAACTGTTAAAAAATCACCAAGTCAATATTTCTGGGAAAACACCTGTTCCTAATTTGCTTTAAGGAATCAGAAGGTCTGGCTGACGCAGAGGAAAGATGCGACCAACTGATCAAAAACAAAATTCAGCTGGAAGCAAAAGTCAAAGAACTCAATGAAAGAGCAGAAGATGAAGAGGAACTAAATGCAGAGCTGACGGCCAAGAAAAGAAAACTTGAAGATGAATGTTCAGAACTAAAGAAGGATATTGATGACTTAGAGCTTACATTGGCCAAGGTTGAAAAGGAGAAACATGCCACAGAAAACAAGGTATTCATTCATTGTTCTTACCCGAATAACGTTCAGCACATAATCCATGTTCTTTTAATGGACATCAACTCATTTCAATCATTCCTTTTCTCAAATAAAGGTTAAGAATCTCACAGAGGAAATGGCTACCCTTGATGAAACTATTGCTAAGTTAACAAAGGAGAAGAAAGCATTACAAGAAGCCCACCAGCAGACACTTGATGATCTCCAGGCTGAGGAAGATAAAGTCAATACTCTGACCAAAACCAAAACCAAACTGGAGCAGCAAGTTGATGATGTGAGTTGTCACAAAACCAAGACTTGAACACAAAACGTGAATTCTGCCATTTTATTATTCAAAGGCTTGTTCCTGTCTTGCAGCTGGAGGGATCTTTGGAGCAAGAGAAAAAACTTCGTATGGACTTGGAAAGGGCAAAGAGAAAGCTTGAAGGTGATCTGAAACTGTCACAGGAATCCATAATGGATCTGGAAAATGACAAACAGCAAGTTGATGAGAAACTGAAGAAGTAAGACACTGAATTACTGTATAGAAAAGACTAAATGAATCACATTTGATTTGCTATGGTTTTATTTGACATTGCATTTGCTTTACTTGAATTACAGGAAGGAATTTGAAATCAGCCAACTTCTCAGTAAGATCGAAGATGAGCAGGCTCTTGGCTCTCAATTACAAAAGAAAATCAAGGAATTACAAGTACGGTTATAATCAATTATTGTTTTCATAGATTTGGTTATTTATTAAAAAAACTTTTAAAAAACTCAATTTACATTCTTGTGTCTTTCAGGCTCGTATTGAAGAACTGGAGGAGGAAATTGAAGCTGAACGTGCAGCTCGTGCTAAGGCAGAGAAGCAGAGGGCTGACTATTGTCGTGAACTGGAGGAAATCAGTGAAAGGCTTGAAGAAGCCGGTGGTGCAACTGCCGCACAGATTGAGATGAACAAGAAACGGGAAGCAGAATTCCAGAAAATGCGCCGTGATCTGGAAGAAGCCACACTGCAGCATGAAGCCACAGCTGCTGCTCTTCGTAAGAAGCAGGCCGATAGTGTGGCAGAACTTGGAGAACAGATCGACAACCTCCAGCGTGTGAAACAGAAGCTGGAAAAGGAAAAGAGCGAGCTGAAGATGGAAATCGATGATCTGGCCAGCAACATGGAATCAGTATCCAAATCTAAGGTACGGTAGAAGTTGATGCATTATATAACAACAAGGACAAGATTAGATCTGTATAGCGCCTTTCACGTCGGGAGGACATCGCAAGGCGCTGAACAGTACATTCCTCACAATCTACACGTGGAACTTCAAATATTATAATTGTCCACGACAGGCAAATTTTGAAAAGACAGCCCGAACCCTTGAAGACCAGTTGTCTGAAGTAAGCACTAAAGCAGAAGAGAACATCCGTCTCGTTAATGACCTAACGTCACAGAAAGCCCGATTCCAGACTGAAAGTGGTAATTATGAAAAAATTATTTGAAGTCTTACTGTGGGTTGTAAAGTTGAGGAGGGAGACGGAAAGGTGCATAGTCGGACAGGTTGATGCTCTTAATGAGAAGACGGTACAGTTGGTATTCTGCAAGAATAAGACCAAATGGCTCAAAAATTCTCTTTCGTCCAAATCTTTCTCATGACAGATTTTTGAAAATATTGACAAATGGTTCTAGGAATTAAGCAATCTTGATTTGCCTTAAACATCGCCTTAAGCATTCTTTGATTGTGCGGATACATTACTGCCTGTCTTTTACTGACGCGTTAGACTGTCTTTTCTGATTAGGTGAATTTAGTCGCCAAATAGAAGAAAAGGATGCCTTGATCTCCCAGTTGACGAGAGCGAAACAGGCATTTACACAACAGATTGAAGAGCTTAAGAGACAACTGGAGGAGGAAACAAAGGTAATATATATTTGATTATAAAAATGGTTTGACTTCAGGTATGGTTCCAGAACCACACACTGTGACCTCCAAAGACTTGATGCTAAATGATTCCATGTCACAGAAAAATAGGTATCAAAGACAAAATATATTAAATAGATGATTCATTTCTTCCTGGACTCCAACTCCTCTCTCTTACATTTCTGATAAGGTACCGGCTTCAGCTTTGTTCTTCTTAATAATACCATGCTCTTAAATATTTTTTAAAGGCAAAAAATGCACTGGCTCACGGCCTGCAATCTGCTCGCCACGATTGTGATTTACTCCGTGAGCAATATGAGGAGGAACAGGAGGCAAAGACAGAGCTTCAGCGTGGCATGTCCAAGGCCAACAGTGAGGTTGCTCAGTGGAGAACAAAGTACGAGACTGATGCAATCCAGCGCACTGAGGAGCTTGAAGAGGCCAAGTAGGTTCAACTGAGTTTTATTTTAAAATATTTTACTTGTTAGGTGTCACTTTTCAGTATTTCATTTGTCATTCTTTCATTCCAGGAAGAAGCTTGCCCAGCGACTCCAGGATGCTGAGGACCACATTGAGGCAGTGAACTCCAAATGTGCTTCACTGGAAAAGACCAAACAAAGACTTCAGGGTGAAGTTGAGGATCTGATGATTGATGTTGAAAGAGCCAACTCTGCTGCAGCAGCTTTGGATAAGAAACAGAGGAACTTTGATAAGGTAAAAAAAACCTTCTCACAGAAAATGAAACTGCATTTTTTGAATGTTGATTTGTTAGATATTTTTCTTCTACATATATTTTTGCCTCTGCAGATTTTGGCAGAATGGAAACAAAAATATGAGGAAAGCCAAGCTGAACTGGAAGCATCACTGAAAGAATGTCGTTCTCTGAGTACTGAACTCTTCAAGATGAAGAACGCTTATGAAGAATCTTTGGACCACCTTGAAACTCTGAAACGAGAGAACAAAAATCTTCAGCGTGAGTGCCAACAATGAATAATTTCTTTAATAGCAAACATGCTATTGATTGTATTGTATGTCGATAGACTTAATATAATGAAATATTCTTCAAACAGAGGAGATCACAGATCTGACTGAGCAGATTGGTGAGAATGGCAAGACTATCCATGAGTTGGAGAAGATAAAGAAGCAGACTGAGCAAGAAAAGTGTGAGTTGCAGAGTGCACTGGAGGAGGCCGAGGTTAGAAAACAATTTTATAAACTTTTCATTATAAAATGCTATCTCCTGAAATGCACTTGTTACTTTCTGGATGTTTTGACATTTGCAGCTGTGCAATACTGTGAAACGATACGAATTATATCTCTGGAAAATTTATGTTGAAAACAATCAAACTCAAAGACAAATGTTAGATTCAGAATGAGAAATTTCTTATTACAAAGGGACCTCACCTTGTAGACTATCATCCTAACTATCTTTTTATTTGGAAACCACATTAATCTGTAATATATATTTTAAAGGCATCCTTGGAACATGAAGAGAGCAAAATTCTGCGCATCCAACTTGAGCTGAACCAGGTTAAATCAGAGGTTGACAGAAAGATTGCAGAGAAAGATGAAGAGATTGACCAGATGAAGAGGAACCACCAGAGAGTTTTGGAGGCCATGCAGAGTTCACTGGAAGCTGAGATCAGGAGCAGAAATGATGCCCTGAGGATCAAGAAGAAGATGGAGGGAGATCTGAATGAAATGGAGGTTCAGCTGAGCCATGCAAACCGCCAGGCATCAGAAGCTCAAAAACATCTTAGAAACGTACAGGGTCAACTGAAGGTATGTGGTATTTCAGTGCTTTTCCAAAGTAGAACATAGAATGATGGTGAACATGAACAAAACAACAGCACAACAAGATTACATTTGTATGGCACCTTTCATGTCGGGAGGACATCCCAATATCTGTAATATTTTTGGTGCTATTACCCAAATGTTCTAGGATTTCTAATTGAAATTGAATGCAATAAGCACATAATCAACCAACTACAAATCATCTTCATAGATTTCTAGTCTGCATTGGCTTCTGATCATCTCTATAAAACAATCTCAAATGAAAATTTCAAATGATGAAAGCAAATTAATTCTCAAATTCTAAGTGAGGCCCAAATGCTATGCTAAACATCCACTGAAATCCCGAAAGTTTTCATATTTTAAAAACAAATGTATTTGATGCACACATGTACTATTTTTTGCAAATCTCTTGATCTAAAGGATGCACAAATACATCTGGATGATGCATTGAGATCGCAAGAGGACCTGAAAGAGCAGTTGTCCATGGTTGAACGCAGGAACAGCCTACAACAGGCTGAAATTGAAGAAATGAGATCAGCCTTTGAACAAACAGAGAGAGCTCGCAAAATTGCTGAACAAGAACTCATGGATACCATGGAACGTGTGCAACTTCTGCACTCTCAAGTACCGTATACTAACCAACATAAATTACTTTTCTCTAAAATACAAAAGGATTTAGTATTTTGTTAATCATGCAAACATAACCAACCAGAATTCATTTCACAGAACACATCCCTAATAAACACGAAGAAGAAGATGGAAACCGATATTAGCCAACTTCAATCTGAGGTTGAAGAAGCTGTTCAAGAATCGAGAAATGCAGAAGAAAAGGCTAAAAAAGCAATCATGGATGTAAGTTTGTTTGTTGAAATCATCTCTTTGAACATAATTTGCAGGTGGACGATAAATGTGACTGTACCTCTTCTGTTATGTTGTGATAAGTAGCACAGACGTGAATGGCTCAATGGCCACTACCTGTACTGAAAATGGCAATGTTCTTTAAGGCTGCCATGATGGCAGAAGAGTTGAAGAAGGAACAAGACACCAGTGCTCATCTTGAGAGAATGAAGAAGAACCTGGATCAGACCGTGAAGGATCTGCAAGTCCGCCTGGATGAAGCTGAACAGTTAGCAATGAAAGGTGGAAAGAAGCAGCTTCAGAAACTGGAGGCCAGGGTATGAGTTTCAGTAACTGCTACAGGGCGACTATAGTGAATGGTTGACTTTGTCAAAAGGACTGAAAGTGCTTAGAGCACTAAACGATGTCCACTTAGCAATATCTGTAATGCACCAACAATTAGTCAGAATATAATACTCTATTACACGTCATCAATTAAGCGTCAAAACTAACCAACTTCCCCTTTCTCGTTAGGAGTGACTGAATGTATGTTTGTTCATTTTTAAAAATACTCTCTCAATATTGCAATGCTTCATTAAGTACGAGAATAACAGCTTCACAATCACAGTAACTGTTCTCAGTAGTGGGATGGTCTCTAATACTAGATTTCCTAATAAATATGAGAAACGTCCAATTTGAAACCCTTTAGGTACGTGAGCTTGAGAATGAACTTGAAGGTGAACAAAGGCGCTCTAATGAAGCAATTAAAGGGGTTCGCAAATTTGAAAGAAGAGTGAAGGAGCTCACTTACCAGGTAAGGTTATACCATCAGCTACACATTGGCAAACTCTGAAACTCTCAATATTTAATGGTTTCTTGGGAAGTTATCATAAAGGAGCTGTAACACTATCGTTGTAGACTGAGGAAGATAGGAAGAATAACCTGAGGCTCCAGGATCTGGTCGACAAGCTGCAACTGAAAGTTAAAGCCTACAAGAGACAATCTGAGGAAGCTGTAAGTTTAACCAAATACATTTTTTTTCAGGGGTGGGAAGGGGCATGAAATATACAACACGCCTAATGTTTTAATATTACACCTGCTATACCAGTGTTACATGTACCAAATTATGCATGTAAATTCTTCTACTGAATGTCAAACTTATATAGAATATAAACTCTCGAATGGGACTTGGGCAGATGTCCGACTTAGGCAATTGTACGGCTTATGATTGATACAGATCAGACGTATGTGTGTTTCACTGTATTTAACCGTTACATGATAACAAATCATTATTGATGACTTTCTTTATTCTGAAACAATTCGCTTTAGGAGGAACAAGCCAATGTTCACCTCTCCAAATTTAGAAAGGTGCAGCATGAGCTGCAGGAGGCGGAGGAACGTGCAGATATTGCTGAATCCCAGGTTAACAAACTCAGGGCGAGAAGCCGAGAGGTTGGCAAGGTAAGCGCTGTGATTTAACTTTATAGCTATTCACGTTCATTTTTTTTATCCAATAGGTTTGCCACGAGGTTTTTTTTTGAACAATAAAGAAAATAATTAAAATAAATAATAACCCTTACATTTGGTATAACGCCTTTCACGTTGGGAAGATATCTCAAAGCGCTTCACGTAGATTAAATTAAAATGTAGTGACTGTGTTTTGTAGGCCAATTAGTAGCACCAGTAAGATGTATTTTGATATAATTTGAATACTGTAAATGAAATTTCTCCGCGCCGCCCCAGTACGATTCCCCAGTATGTTTTTCTTGCCTTTAAAAAAAGATATTATAGTTGACAAGTTTCAATATCTCCGCTGAACGGCAAAGTACGAGACCAGAACAGTCCAGCAAACCGATATTTGCATTTAGACCTTTACGCTGTACGCATCGCCGTTTTACTTTTGAAGATTTGGGTTTTCCGCCCAAAGAGCAACAAAAATTAAACGTTATATGTTGTTTGTTGAGGAAATTGGTTGCAAGTGGAACCGACGAACAGTGACCACCAGGTGGCGCACTGCATTCCCCATAATGGGAAACACCTGCATTTTGTGAAGCATAAAATCATCCAATGATAAATATATATATATAGTAAAAATAATGAAACAAATACTCTTGAAAGAATTCCAAAGGCTAAATTAGTTGCAGCACACGGACTATGTGCACGAAACATGAAAGCGAATCTCTCCCGATTCAGCTCAATTCACTGATTTCGATCATGACTTTGTGCCTCACTTGCAATGGTCTCATGACCTGTTGCAGTGATTGTAACACTGTTTTTGTTGGTTTTGCAGAAAGGAATGGAAGAGGAATAAGTACCTTGAAAAGGAACTGATCGGTGACTGGCAGGAATCCCCAAAATGTGAATTTCCTTGCCACTCAGCCGTCTGCTTCAATTAGTTGTAGAAAATAAAGTATGTAGTTGTCAGGGAACGTGCAGCATTTTATTTTATTTTATTTATTGTTTAGTGCATACTGGGTATATATATATTTGTGTGTTCTTCCTCAAAGGCAAATGTTTCACTTCATAAGTGAACATAAGAACATTTAGTGCGCCACCTTCTGCTCACGAATTGATTCCACTCACAACCAATTTTCTGTAACACAGAAACTGTGCCTTTTCAACAACACTTTCCAAAGAAAGTACTAAGTGATTAGTGAAGCAGCAGAAATGATGTACCTTATAGAGCCACTGGAAACCTTCATTTATGTCAAATAATGAAAAAAACAACTGGAGTAAATATTACAATAGAAATCATAATAATAATCCTTGCATTTGACTTAGCGCTTTTCACGTCTTCTCGACGTCTCAAAGCGCTTCACAGAATAGACTGTAAAGTGAATTGACTGTACATTTGTGGGCGAAATGCCACAATTTATGCGTCCCACAAACAGTCGTGGATTGAAATGACCAATTCATATTTTTTTGAGGGATTATTTTATTTTATCTTATCATGAAGCTCAAGGGAATATAGAAGCTATTTTTGGGCTGAAACAATATATGAATATAGAAGAATTCAGGACATATGTAGCAAGATGTAGCTCTACCCACACAAATAGCAATAAAAATTAAGTGGCCGGTGTGTGGAGGAAATTGGTTGCAGGTGGAACCAACTAACAGTGGCCACCAGGCGGCACTTTAATTCCTAGACAGTAATAATAGGATTTTACGAAGAAAGTCAATGCACAAAACTGTGCAACAACAATAACAACAACAAAATTACATTTATAGCGCACCTTTCACACAGGCACTTATGGAAAAGTATTAAGAACTTTTGACATGACGAGTGGCATTCCGAAGAACATGAGTGATTTATAGTAGAAACGATACAATAACATTTACATTTATACAGCGCCTTTCATGTCAGTTTCAAAGCATTTAACGCTGCGGGTGGGGGCGGAAGCCAAGGAGCGGAGAGTGGAAGATGTTCAAAACTGCAGTCAAAGAGATAGGTCTTGAGACAGACCGTGCAGGAGGCAGAGCTCAACAAGAACACAGAACTGCCTTTTGTGCTGTATTCCATAGTCGAAAGGCACTCATGAGGGACTTTAATGCGAGTTCTTAGTAAATAAGAGCTTGCGTGTGCTAATTATGTAAATGTCTTAAGAGCGAAGTTCTTGTGAATCGTAACATCGTGAATTTATTTAGAAAATCCTAACATGATTAGGCAGAGTCAACATGGCTTTACGAAAGGGAAATCATGTTTAACAAATCTTATAGAGTTTTTTGAGGATGTAACTAGCAGGTTAGAGAGGGGGGAACCAGTAGATGCGGTGTATTTGGATTTCCAGAAGGCATTCGACAAGGTGCCCCTGTTTCATAAGATTAGAGCCCATGGAATTAAAGGCAATATATTAGCATGGATTGGAGAGTGGGTAACAGGAAGAAAACAGAGAGTAGGGATAAACGGGACCTTCTCAGATTGGCAGGATGTGACTAGTGGAGTGCCACAAGGATCAGTGCTTGGGCCTCAATTATTTACAGTTTATATTAATGATTTAGATGAGGAAATAGAACTTAACATATCTAAATTCGCGGACGATACGAAGATAGGTGGGAGAGTAAGCTGGGAGGATGACACAGGAAGAATGCAAAGGGATATAGACAGGCGAGGGGAGTGGGCAAGAAGGTGGCAGATGGAGAATAACATGGGGAAGTGTGAAGTTATTCACCTGGGTAGTAAAAATAGAAAGCGGATTATTTTCTAGAGGGGGAGAGAGCGGGTAGTGTTAGTGTTCAGAGGGATTTGGGTGTCCTTGTACACCAGTCACAAAAAGTTAGTTTGCAGGTACAGGAAGTGACTAGGATGGCTAATGCCATGTTGGCGTTCAATGCAAAAGGATTAGAGTACAAGAGTAGGGAGGTCTTGCTGCGGCTGTATAAGGCCTTGGTGAGACCGAACCTAGAGTATTGTGTGCAGTTTTGGTCTCCTTATTTAAGAAAGGACATACTCGCCTTAGAGGGGGTGCAGCGTAGATTCACTAGGTTGGTTCTTGGGATGAGGGGTTGACCTATAAGGACAGGTTGAATAAACTAGGCCTATATTCTCTAGAATATACAAGAATTAGAGGTGATCTTACAGAAACCTATAAGATTCTTAATGGTCTTGACAGGGGAGATGCCATGAGATTGTTTCCCCTGGTTGGAGAATCCAAAACTAGGGGGTCACAGTCTCAAGATTAAGGGTCAGCCTTTTCGAACTGAGTTGAGGAAACATTTCTTCACTCAAAGGGTAGTGAATTTGTGGAATTCTCTACCCCAGAGGCTGTGGATGCTCAGTCCTTGGACATATTCAAGACTGAGGTTGATGGATTTCTGAAGGATAGAGGGATTAAGGGATATGGGGATAGGGCGGGTGAATGGAATTAGGTTAGAAGATCAACCATGATCTTATTAAATGGCGGGGCAGGCTCGAGGGGCTGAATGGCCTATTTCTGCTCCTACGTCTTATGGTCTTATGGTAACCAAATATCATAAAAATAAGAATGACCCATCATAAGAATGATCTAATTCATTATCCATGAAACATTAGATTACCTCCCTGACTGCACCATAAAACATAAAATTGGAGTAAAATAAAATATAAAAATCCTCAAACATTAAACTTGCCCCGATGAGCCAGGCTGGCTGGGATATCAGCAGCAGTGCTGCGGACCTGTCTGCCTCAGGAACTGGATTGCAAAGCTGCACAGAGGGTTGACTCGATTCAGACATTCCATTGCCAAACATGTTACCTTGGAGTCTGTTCAGCCACACACTGGACTTTCTCAACACCAGCTGCTAAATCCAGGTACTCATGTGAGGGTCTTTGGAAAATTGACGTGCCTGCTGTGAAACTGACTCAGCAACAGGTCAAGCCAGAACCCTCCCTCCCTCCCGGCATGCACTTCCCATGTTTTCCACAATTCCAACTCACTGCTTGATCCTAGACTATTGGAGGTATGGAAACACAGCTGAATGGATGCTAACACCTTCTGTTAAAAGCAGGATCAGTTAAAAATTCTGCCAGGTACTTTGTTAAAATATTAAAATGATTACAAATATATGGTTCATATATGGTTCAGGAAGCTTCAATGGCTTAGAGGGGTAAATACACTGAATGGCACAAGGCTGATCCATATGGGCAAGAGGATCATTGGTTCAGTCTCTGGTCTGTGACGTTAGCTGATCCCAGCAAGTGAGGCTCCTTAAATTGGCCTCAGTGTTTGAGCTATGGAGAGGAAAGCAATCAGCCAGGATGGTACACTTGATCACTGTTCTGTGATCCTTTCTTGAAAAACACTTATCTCTCAGTGAAAACAAAGATATGCTGTAGCCATGTGGTTTAATTTTAATTTTCTTAACTTCCTGAAAATGGTTTCTTTGGAGGGACTACAAATAAAATGTTACTATATTTTCATTGAGACAGTTGTCATCATAATATTGTAAAACATTTGTATATTAGTTAGCTTTGAAATCTAAATCTAAATGACTATGGATTGTTATCTTGGGAATTTTGGAATTCCAAAACACGGTAGAGGAATTTGTTACCCGGGCAAGAGTAGTTTAATACATTCAATGTTTTTGATCTGGACAACTCAGATGGGAATAGAACTGCTTGATCAAGCACAGCAGGAACTTGCTGAGTATTTGCTTTGTAACTGATCTAAATATGATTTGCTGCTAAGCCACTGGTGCATTATATCTAACTGTTGCTTTGGCTGATAATCTAGAAAAGGGCCCTATGGTTTTACACTTTATGGAAACACATTAAGAGGCAAAGACTCAACTTAAAATACCAAGCTCCTGAACATTGTACCATAAAATACCTACTTTAAGTTTCTCGCTGCTCTGCCTATCACTATTTTCTGATTGGTTTATTGCTTGTAATGTAATCTAGCATTGGCAATGTTTTCTACATTGAATTAGACAGTATTTGAATCGATTGTAACACTATTCGACTATTAATCATATTAGTCATTAATCATATATTGTTCCATGTAGACTGATTGGAAATATAACACAGATTCTGACTATTATTGAAAATATACATTCTACTATCTGCAGCTAATATATAAACAGTTTATGTTCTGAATGATTCCCGAGAAAAATACTAAAATAGTTACGACACATGATCCGTTTTAGAAATATTTTGAATTTGATATTATCCTCTTGCCAGTGGTATTCTTCTAGATCAATTTTCATTGACGTCTTAAAGCTGCTGAAGACGTCCTGTCAACATCTGTCAGAATGTCACTCCAAATTTGTGAATTCTTCTAATGACTATACCAACTGCAGCAGTAATCAACACCATTGGTGGCCAATGTGGTTGGTCCATTACTTTGCAATCAGTTTAAGATATACACTGAAATAATCATTTTTCTATGATCTGTTCAACTTTTACCATTATTTTACCTTGGAATTGCTCCTCCCAATATTAGACATGCTAACTTATTACATTTTTTTAAAAAATCCTCAAATATTCTTCCCTGTTTACGGCCACTATGCTGTGCACTATTTTTTTCACCAGATGGGCATCAGGTAACCGATTGCCCAAGCCATCTGGTAATAACTCTTTGTAATTGGCTACTTCGAGGTGTCATAGAGAGGCCTAGTTGATTTCCCTTGCGTGAGGAACGTATTTTGTTTATACTCAGTTCCGCTCTTTTACCAGCCATTTGAACTTGGTGTCTGCCAAGATAACTAACGTAGCATGGGAAGAACCACAGGTTGAACCTGTGTCCTTTTACTTCCTGTTTCTGAGTCATTCTACAAGATGTAAAAAGCATTTCTACATTATTTACTTTATGAATATTATTATGTTCCTCCAGATGGAAATGTCAGGACTAAAGAATGGAGTAAATTCTACCTTGGCTGCCCGCTGTGAGCAGCAATGCAGATATTGGTTGGTTGATACTTGAATTTCAGAAAGATTGTTCTAATTTATTTGATCATTCCTTCTCACAGAACTGTTTTTTGATAAAATAATAGCAATAAGGTAAGGATTATTGCCTTAAATATTTATGTGTAGGCTCTTGTATTCGTTATAGCATGTGAAACATTAATGGTTGTCAAATTGGAATGAGTGCTATTCTAAAGCCACGTGGAAGTTGAGTGCAGCCATTAGGTGTGAACTTGTATAAATAGGTTTGAAGATGTACTGAATTCTTAATTGTAGATTTAAATTGTAAATAAATCTTTATTTCTGCTTTTAAGAAATATTTTGCTGTTGTGATAAATATGTAATTCAAATAAGCTTTAGCCTATATCCCAAAGTACTGTTATTTCACTTTGTTTCAACAATCAAACTAAAATAATAATTATTATTAAAATATTCATAAAACTTGATTCTGGTGAGAGTGTCTGCAGAAATAATTCGGGGCAGTCACTGTACTTTATAAATTGTCAAAAAAATATCTTTTAGCAAATATTTATACGGTAATGAAATTTAGTTTGGAATTGCAGAAAGCAGTAAAACAACATTCTTTCCTAAAAGGTATGCAAAAAGTAAATTGTTACTCTTGTTATTCAAAGGATCATAAGGCAAGATGATGATCGAGGAGGCATACTTTGAGGAGTATAAAAGGAAAAAGTGCTACTATTCATTATGACTGTTTTTCAACAGTGATACTTGGCCAACTTCACAGACATTTCAGCAAGGATCTTGGACTAATGTATGACTAATTTTTGGACTGAATGTAGTTTGCAGTATCAAACAAAACGTATTCCATGGCATTAAAATCTACATTGTAAGTAATAGATTACAAAGTGACATCTCTATTGATTATTTGGACCCAATCATACAAGGAACTAACGTAAGTACAAGGTAAAGCACAGGTCCACATGGTCAGTCCCTCTATTTTTAAGCAGCTCTTCCCTACCTCTGGAGGTGTGATTGTCACCATGCCTCCATATCTAAATGTCATTAAATGTCATGTCTCTAATACAGCCCTTTAGAACCCTTTTCTAGTATTTCATTCGCTGTTAATGACACGCAACTGCCTGTTTCTAGTTCCTGATTCGTGCTTGTCTTTGATTAGTTCCGACTCAGTTTTTGTAATGACTATGGAATGCCTTAATTAAGATTTTAATAAAAATTTAATTTATGACTCATCCAAAATGTGCACGATCTTTAGTGTTAGCACAATAACATAATAATGCTTACATTCGATATAGTGCCTCATCACATCATCTTAATATCAAAAATGCAAGTATTATTATTATTATCTTAATATTCTTAAGGCTAAAGCAATGGAACATTTCAGATGTAAGAGGCCAATTAGCAATATTCCACTTCCAATGAGGCATATCTTTCAAAGTACTAACTTATTGTTCTCTTGTAGATGCTGATCGATCTGTTGTGTATTTCCAACATTTTCTACCTCTATAAGAATTACGTGTAGATTCCAGCGTGTTTTATACTGTAAATATCCAATGTGCATTAGTCTACCTCAGCACATCTTAAAATGTACTTGCCATTCACATATATTTTTAAAAATTACTATCAATGACTTTCGTGTGGTCCCCAAGTTGTATCCTGAAAATGGAACTACTATGTTTATAAGAAACACTTCTGTGCTTCACATTAAAATATTGTCAGTAACTCCCTGGCTGTGGGTGGGACTTTGCTGTGTGCAAATTAGCTGCGGTTTTTGTCCATAAAGTACACAAACACACACTTTACAGTATATCATGTGAAGCGTTTTGAGATGTCTCACCGATGTGATGAGGCACTACATCAAATGCAAGGATTATTATTATGATAATTTAACAGTTACTTAAGGTTGATGCTTTGAAGCTACTACATATGAAGCTGCTGAATGTGAAGTTGAACATGAAATTGCACAGTTACCAGTAAGTAATTACAGGGTCAGACTGAGGATTTTTGTGTTTAAATCAGAAAAAAAGGCTTCTGCAAAAAAAAGACATGAAAACCGATAAGATTTCTAGCACTCGGAAAATAAAAATAATTTAGCAAACGTCACAAACTTAAAGACAGTCTTCATATATCCCCATAGTTCTTAAACTACAGTTCATACACAAGCGTTTTCCTCAGCAGCACAGGGTACAATGATATATATTGGAATATATTCCATTTCCAAAACAATTTAGCACACAGCAATACTTACTATGTTTTATGAATACATTTTCGTTCACATAAACTTACATACGCTATCAATATGCAATTAACAACTTTATTTTGTAGCCTTTTACAGCATATCTGTGCATTTCTTCAAACAACATTGCAGTGTTGAGAGAAGAAAGTTGAAGGACACATTTGTCACAGTGATGAACTTAACTGCCAGACAGGAAGGGACAGGAGCAGGGTAAATAATCTACCAATGTAACAGAAGCTATTTCTGCTGCTTTCCTAATAAGTATCTGCTATAAGACCCACTGAGGTATTTAACTTACTAAATGCGATCCATTAGTATCACTATTCTATATTTGTTGGAAAGAAATAAAAGTAATGAAAGAGGTGCTGAAACACTACTTCAAATGACACTGATAAAGTCATGAAAACAGATTTAATCATTCTTACAAAATAGTATTAACATTTCTTCATTGCCCCTTGATATTCATTGCAGCTCCTGATTCCTGCTTGATTTTGTTCAGTTCCAAATCAGTTGTTGTAATAACTATGGAATAGTTTCTTAATTAAGATTGAGCTTCTTAATTAAACTTCTTAATTAAAATTAAACTATGAATTTTCCAAAATTTGCACGATCTTAAATGTTAAGAGAATAATATAATACTTTTTTGCACTCAATATAGTATCTCATCACATCATCTTAATATAAAAAATGCAAGGATTATTATTATTATCTTAATATTCTTAAGGCTAAAGCAATGGAACATTTCAGATGTAGATAGAATACAACTTCAAATGGTGGGAAATACATTATCAGCATAAAATAACCTTTTCTCGTCAGTCTAAGAAGTTATTGACACAGGTGGCTGGCGAACTAGATGAAGAAAAAAACTAATATCATGGATTACTCTGAAATTTTGAAAAAAAATGTTGAAGAATAAAGTACTTATATACATAATTCAAAATGATCAAATTGCTTTCGTGACCGGTTGGCAACAGCTGTGGGACTGAATTACTCCTCCAGTTGACATTTTCATCAGCAGATCTGATGTCTTGGTTCTAACACCGCAGATGATCTACAGCAGTTTTAAGATGTCATTATAAACCTACCACTGAAACATAACCCAAGGGAATACCGCTGACTTAAGGAAACATCAAGGAAGTTAAAGTTGAACCATGTGTTTCAGCTGCAACTTTGAAATGCTTAAGGAATGACAAGTGGAATAAAATTAGGCTTCACCTAAGTGGCCTGAATCAAAACTAAAAATTGGCTTTGTAAAAATATGGGGTGTCAAGATCAGTAATTAATGTGTGCACTCTGAAACATCTTTGATTGATCCTGTTGTTATAAAGATGTATTCTTCAAAGGGATAGATATTTTCAGCAATTGATTTCTGAAAGAAGTGTACAGGACTTCCAAGAAGCTAGTCTTCTTCAAGGAGCTATTAAAATGATGATGGCAATTAACAACTGGAACAGGTTACCAGCAAGGGAGCATGAAACCATAATGCTGGACTCACATAAGAAACAGTATGTTGCTTTAATGGGAGAATGGTAGAGTAAGTATCCAGGAATGATAAGATACCATGGTCTGAGGAGCCTTCTTCAGCCAAACCCGCCTTGTTACCTTTACTTAAATATGTTGTTATAAGCACAACAAAGTACATTATAATTGCCAATATACCGACACATATTTTGCACAAATTAGCAGAATGGTTCCACGTATTACAAAAAATGTGCATTTATTAACCATTGTCAAGATGGCATTGACGTTTGGGTTTTTAATGGTGAAAGTATGAGAATAGACAGTGGTGATAGTGAGCAGCATGTTGTGGTTTACATACAGCAAGTGAGAATAGGAAACACATGTATTCCATAGATGGGATGGAATTGTCAAGAAGGAAGCTGAAAGAGACCAGATAGGTGTTGGTTATCGTATTGCTCACCACGTGAAAACAGTGTGAAGCAGCAACTGACGAGGCAAACAGAATGCTGGGCTATATTGCTAAATCAGTTGATTTCAAATGCCCAGGCATCACACTCACATAGTTTGGTGTTTTGCTTAGGTCATACCTAGAGAGCTGTATCGAGTTTTGGTTGCCTCAACATAAGGCAGCCGCCCAGATCACAGAGGCAATGCAGAGGAGAGCAACGAGGATGATTTCCAGTGTTAGAGGAATGAGCTATGAGCAATGATTAGACAAGCTAGTGCCTTTCAGTCTTGAGAAAAGATGTCTCTGATGGGATTCTCTAGAGGTGCATACAATTGAAAATGGAATTAACAGAGTAAATACCGAACAATATTTGAGGATAGAAAAAGACAGTAAAACAAGAGGACATGGGTTTAGTATTGCAAAGGGCGACTTCAGGACAGATGACAGGAAGCTTTCCTGCTACTTGCCAGTTAAGACAATAATACCCTTTAGGGCATTGGCTTGCAGGGTTAACAGAAGCTGAGAGGGAAATGCCCCTGCCCCAGTGATTGGTCTGCCCTTACAAGTCCTGCATATGATCCACAATGTTAACTACTGAATCAAATTATGAGTACTAAGAAATTAAAATTATTTTGAAATGATAAATATGTTTTGGTTAAATGCATAACATAAATACACATGATGACCGGTGGTTTGTGCAAAAAGAATCAATAATACCATGGTCAATATAACGCACAAATTTCTAAGATATGCAGCCTGCATTTGGAGTTTAATTTTCAATATTCATCCAATTTTTTGGGGGCGTCAGTTATGTGTCTAACACATGCAGAAACCCATCACCATGCTTAAGAGTCTCCAAACCAAACTGGTTTGGCAGAGGGCCAAACCTTGGGCAAGTTTCCTTACTCCACACAGAGCCTAATAATAATCCCTCCAAAACTAAAAACAATAATAAATTGGTCATTTTCAATCCACAACTGTTTGTGGGACATTGCTGTGCGCAATTGGCTGCCGCGTTCGCCCACAAATATACAGTCAATTCACTTTACAGTATATTCTGTGAAGCACTTTTGGACGTCGAGACGACGTGAAAAGCGCAATATCAAATGCAAGGATTATTATTATTAGTAGTACAGGACAGCTTCTGACGTGCTAGCCACCTTGATGTTCTCGAGGTTCAAGATCAATGCCATGCACCAAGCTTACTCAGCACCAGCTGCTTAATCCAGGTCCTCATGTGAGGTCAATTGGCAAATAGACATCCAATAAATATTGACCAGTTTGAGTGATTTATTTTTCATCAGATTGAAAAGCAAAGTGTTCTAACGTAATGATTCACAACAAATAGAAACTGAAGATGACTGAAGGAATATTCAAAGATCCAGATTTTTAGATGGGTTTGATAGTGGGAGGGGTGAAAGTGGAGGGATTCAGGAAGAATTTTAGAGAGCGAAGGCAAAACGGCTGAAGGTTTGCCCGCACTAATGATGAAGGACATGACAGCAGTGTTGAAGCTAACACCTAGTTTGCACACAGGTTCAATTAGGCTGATAGATAGGCCGGGGAAGTTAAGAAAGTCAGAACTGCAGGTGAGAAAACATTGACCTGAGCCAAGGAGAATGCCTTCCATTCAGCTGCATAAAGTTGATGCTCATTCAGGCCTTAATGCCTGACAAGTAAGAGGACAACACATCAGTGGATCTGGGATTGTGACTAAGAGGAGGTAAAGTATATTTGG